GGAATTTTTGGACACGCCTGTAACCTTCATCAACGGTTCAAGGAACAAGCAGAGAAATGAGAGTGTTTTTGTAGATGGGGTATTTTCCACTGGAAAGCGTGTTATTAGCAAACACCTTAAATTTAAAATTTTGATCGGTGTAAAAGTGTTACGCAGGTTTATTGTCACTAGTATGTGTCATGGGTGGAGTGAGATTGTAAACATTGATGAAGAGAGTTATATGTTGAGGAGGTGAACAGACGTTTCGCATGTAGCAAGTTGTAGCAAGAATTGGCAGATCACGTGATCGAGTGTTGAAAAACGGAACTATGAAAATGATGTGATAAACAAGAAGTAAGAGATAGTGAAATATATATGTATAGTACAGGTAATAACTCCGTTGGTATATAATCCAGGTGGATCCTAGTAATATCAAATATTAAAACTGATCCACAGAGAGCCCAATATATTTATTGTATCAGAGCATGTATATTTTTACAGCAAAAATCAAAAATTACTTCATGAAGGTATAGTCTATTTCAGATCGGTACAACTTAATGCCGATCCTCATCAGCCCTCGAATGTCAGTCTGGAATTGGAGTTTTGAATTTATTTTAGATAGCAGTCCTACTCAGGGAGATGCCTTGTTTTTGATAAGGGGCTTGTGTTGGTGAAAGGGGCTTGTGTTGGCGCAAAGTATCTCTTTTAGGGGAAGTAATCTGAAGTCGAAGTTTATTTATGGCCAGAGCCTTTCATTGTATGTAAATGGCTTTCGGTTCCTACTTTGGGATACTACATTATATATTGCTTTAAACGTTATTTTAGTGGATACCTTATTTGAGTAGACACTCCATTTATTTATTAAACAGTGCGTTTATTTATTTCCGTCTATCGGCCTGAATATTCGAGAAATCTTAATTTATATAAAATTCTGTGACTTCCATCAGTCTGTCTAACCCTCTAAAATAGCCATACATTGGCCAATCAAAACCAAATGAGAAGCAGGGCAAACAGTTAAGGAGTACAATGTACAGTTGGTTTTACTGGGGTTCGTAGCTTAGTAGAATATTTTTTTTATTAATTATCTAACAACGGCTTCAGTCGGGAGACGAAATAAAATACCGTTTAAAATAAGCAGGGCCTCTACTCAGATATGGGTATCCACTAAAAATAATGGTTCAAGTGATAAAAATATGTCGGGTTACTAAAAAGAAATCTATTATTTCTTTAGAAATTTCTCTATTTACATTTCGGATACTAAACTGAGGAGTTATGATCTTTCAGGAATCTGAGAGATGTGCTTAAAAGCAGTACACTGACTTGCTTACTTGTGACATTCGTCGTCGCTGAGTCGATTAAATCACGTCGGATCTAATGACGACAGTGAGAGACGTAGGTTCGGATCATGCCGTAGGGTATATTTAACTTGATTAGAATTTCTTGAATATTCAGGCCGGTAGATAAAATAAAATACTGTTTAAAATAAATTGAGCCTCTACTCATATGTGGCTATTGGCTAAAAATAAAGTTTAAATTGATAAAATTATGTGAGATTAATAGATAAAAACATTATTTCGTCACACACGCACACACACACACACACACACACACACACGCATACACACAGCATTATCTCCCACATATATCCGCCTAAAGATTCTTCCTTGGTAACCCTCTGTCTCGAGTGGCTCTCGGGCCTTGTACAGGGTTTTTATATAGAACTAAAGTGTCGCTTCCGACTCTTGAGTTTGAACATATGTCGCCAGAGTGCAAACACAGGCGATCTCATTATTCAATTAAGTAGACCACGTGACAATAGAGGAAACATATAGAAGTAGCTGACGACTACCGATCGCATTTCTAGTCTTTCTCTATTACTATTCGGATCTATATTTCTGCTCTATCCTCGATACTATACGGATCGCCATTTCTATTCTATCCTCTATTACTATACGGACCGCTATTCTCTACTCTATTCACTATACTATTTCTCTATTCGGATCACTATACGGATTACTAGTCGAGCGAGTATTATCGAGTAAGTACTATTAGTGCGAGCGCTATTCGAAGGCTTCTGACACCAGCATTGTTCAACGGCGTACTATAGTTGTATCTGCGATTACAAAGTCTCTACTACAATGAGCATCACATAAATGACAACAGGGGGTTCGTTGAGTCACAAAAAGGGTGAATATCATTGTAAAAAAATGAGGACAATAGTCCGTATGTAACTAGTGTAAATAATGAAAATACCTCATCCGAGAAATGCAGATTCAACTGTCAATGGATATGGTTAATTTTTTATCAATTTTCTCCATTGTGCTATCAGAGTGGTAGGCACGATTCCCTTTGGCTTCATCTTGGTAATTCTTTTCGAGTTGAAAGTTTGAAACACTCCAAAGTGATATTATGCGTAACAGTTAAAGGGAGCGAAAGCGCGCCAAAAAGAAATCATCTAATATTATGCGTTTTTATAATAATACCCTATTTTCTTGTGCCTAACACGAGAAATTTTGGACGAAAATTAAAGGAAAATTAAAGGGCCTTCTATTACACCCAACTTTCATGTTTTCAGAAATTTTTACGCAGCTTAAAACCTCTTATTTTGGAACAACAAGAATGCAAATCCACTGAGTTGGCACAAAAGACAATAAAACGGAAAATTGTTGATAGCAATTGTTTCAACCAGTATTTGATATGTCGGCCATATTTGTTCTTTGGAAATCGGCGCAACTGAACATCTTTTCTTGTCTCAAAGACAGGAAAATTCACCGGAATTGATTTAAAAAAAATAATAAAGTGTAAACACAAGATCTGTCATATTTTAATAACATTAATGAGACATTGTATAAATGATGTACTTTTTGGGGTGTTTCCGCTTGACAAATGAGACAAGACAAGCCTCTTGAATTGATTTCATTGATTGCTTCGTTTTTACGGCTTATCAATCCTTTACAGGTTATTTAAAGCCAGAAAATAGGAGACAAGTAGATATGATTAAAGGAGACGTTGATAAAGATTTGAAACAGAAAGGCGGATAGACATTTGGAAATTGAGATAGAAAGATAAGAATAACCCAAGTCGATAGATAGATATGAAGATTTCATTGATTGATTCATTCGTTTTCTACGGCTTATCAACCCTTTGCAGGTTATTTAAAGCCAGAAAATATTTTTAGATTGTAAGAATTTCTTTTTTTATGAGATAATTATTGTTTAGATTTAAAAGATTTGGATTAAGCAAACAAGTAATTATGTGCATATAAAGGTGGGGGTCAATTCTATATTACAATTAATATATAAACTCATCCCTCACTTTGTAGCAACAGTAGTTTCTATTCACTTATATTCCAGAGAATGTAGATAAATATAAATATCATGCCTGTGTAGCTAATCAGTATTTCATTGATTGATTGATTCTTTTTCTACAGTTTATCAACCCTTTGCAGGTTATTTAAAGCCAGAAATGATTTTTAGATTGTAAGAATTTTTTGTTGTTGATAATGGTTTAGAGATAAAAGTTTTACTAATTAACCTATTGATATGAGAGAAGGGTTGGATTCATATCTTTCTCAAGTGTATTTGAGCGTAAGTGAATATAACGAACCCAGTGGAAATTGAAACTCAAGTATCCGATTAACAATTCCGAGCCATTATCCATTACACCAGCGACACATCCAGGCTCACGGCACCAGGTATTCCCTAGTGGTCACTTATCTAGGTACTGACAAGGTTTGACGTTGCTTAACTTCGGTGATCGTACGCAAACCGATGTTTTATTTGATGTGGCCCTAATGTGAAGGTAGTGAATTCCGATCGTGGGATTATATAGTCAGGACACATTCTGAATAAGATTCAGAGACATCGTGATGTAGAGATGGATTAAGAGGCAGCAGGTGAGAGTTATCACTCACGAACCGTCCATCAAGGTGTAAAGTAAGGAAGCTAAAGAGTGACAACCACAATCAGAGACAGGCAGTGAAGCAATCGGAGTTCTCGCTGGCCGACGGGAATAACCGGTCTGTTAGTCTGTCGTGAGCGTGTAGATGTCCCAAGCTTCCCTTGCCTCCCCTTTCCAGTAAGTGTCAAGTGAATCAATGAATAAATAACCTAAGGGTTTGTGCTTTCTCTTTCCGTTTTTGCGATATTTCAGCTTTCGTTCCTTTGCCCGAATACTGTAAATAGTGCAAATAGTTACAATACCTCATCTCAGAAATATAGACAGATTCTGAAGAAGGCTGGATTGCACAATAGCCTTTCCCAGATTTTTTTTTTCAAAACACATCATGGAGTGAAGGAGTCCCACTACAAAAACCTGATTGAGGGCCGCAGTTGCACGATTATACTCCTATAATTGATGATAATATCAGTTTTGTGATACATCCGACAAGTAACAGATACTTTAGCAACTGGAGTAAAATTGGAATGATTTGTATACCCTTCTGCATGAATAACATTATAATCCCTAGCTAAAGTGTTAACACAGGCATACCAAAAATCTGCCAACTAAGTCATTCGTCTTATGGAGTAAGTCCCAGCGAGATCTAACACTGTTTTCTCTTTTTCTTTCTGATATGACCCCGCCCTAGTGACAGTGTGCGTATTTTTGATGATCTGGGATGAAGTAGATTTGGAGTAACTATTCTTCTTCATGACGTCAACCAGAAGGTTAGGCCTGCCCTTGAACTTTGAAGTCCTTACGATTGCTTTACTTGGATGTCAGCGAAAATGGATGTCATCTGAAAGCCGCTATTGTAATTAAGGATGCTCTCGAAAAAAAAAATTCCTTGCTATCATGTGTTTCTCTTACAAGTCTAGCCAGCAGGAGTTCAAAAAGCCCATTGTAACAAAGATATATTTGTCAGTTTGTCTATGAAAAGCACATTACGTCTCTTTCTTGATGACATTTTATAACTTGACAGTTCCTACAAATAAGAGACTTTATAGTTCCCCTGTTACTAAGAGAACTGTAATCAAATCAAGATTTACAAAAACCGCTTTCTCATGTCCCTTTTTACCTCAGTTTCTGAGCGGTCACATATCTAGGTACTGACCAGGCTCGACGTCACTTAACTTCGGTAATGGTACGGGAACCGGTGTTTCCTCGTGATATGGTCGTAAGGGTAAAAATATAAATAATATAATATAGGAGTAAAAATACAAGGGCACATGGCCCAGTGGGTAAAAGCATTGATTGAAGTAATCCAGTGACTTGACATCAAAGAGTTGTGAGTTCAAAACCTGGCCACAGCAGAGGTGAACAAAAACTTGGACAGTTGAATTTCTAAAGGGAAATAACTGAAACTGAGATATCCAGAAATGGCATGGCACATGGAACTAGAACAATCTACCAGTAGACGAAATAAATTAAAGGATTCGGTTTGAAATTCCAACGAATATCAACTGAAGAAGGCCGGAGCGTACAACGCTCGAAACGTCGTGAATATGACAATAAAGATAACAAAAACGGCCCGAACACTGTAAATAGTGCAAATAGTTACAATACCTCATCTCAGAAATATAGACAGATCCTGAAGAAGGCTGGAGTGCACAATGGACGAAACGTGGTGAATATGACGATAAAGATGAGGACAACAGTCCGAACAATGTAAATAGTGTAAATAATACATATTTTCTTGTGAGTGGAAAATATCAGGTGCTGTAATCTTGTTTGTGCGGATAGCATAATGGATAATGTCTCAGAATTTTTAATCGAAGATCGAAGCTCCAATTCTCGCTGAGTTCGATATATTCACTTACTCGTAAATATCCTTGGGAAAGCTGTGAATCCACCTTTTCTCCCCGTATGGATTAATTAGTAAAACTTATATCACTAAATCATTATTATCACGTCCTGCGTATGACGATAAACTGCATCCGCGTCGTGGGTATGATGATAAACTACAACCGTGTCCTGGGTAAGACGATAAACTACATCCAACACAAAGCCTTTGATCAGGAGGCTTTAAGGAGCGTGTAACCACCTCTTCATTGCTGGTGCTCCCAGGTTCACCCTGACCCGGAGTGGTAGCACCTGTTACGGTCCCAGCTATGGGCAAATAGTTAACCCCTTAACCGGGGTCAAAACACTATCAAAGTGTAAAAATAGGTTTTAATACCAGCAATATAATGAATTTTTGAAGAAAAAAATATCACCAGCTATACATTATTACTTGCAATACATCTTGGAAAAAAATGTTACCAGCAATACATTTTTGGAAAAAAATATTTTCAGCAATACATTTTTTTTTAAATATTACCAGCAATAAAAATCTTGTCGGCATTAAATATTCCATTGAGGCTGATATGCCGTAAAACAAAACAAGTCAAACAAATCATTATTATTTCCAAAATATTCTTACAATCTAAAATTATGCAATGGCTCTAAATAAGCTGCAAAGGGTTGATAAGACTTATTTAAAAAAAATTATTTAATTTGATTTCTTATTTATGATGAACCGTCTTAAACATTTATTTGCCATAATTTCTATTACCTATATATATATATATATCGTTCAGGGTTCAATTTTCACGTTCCTATCCACCACTCTATTTCAAATCTTTATCAACGTCTCTTTTAATCATATCTGTTTCCTATTTTCTGGCTTTAAATAACCTGCAAAGGGTTGATAAACCGTCGAAAACGAATCAATCAATCAATGAAATCTTCATATCTATCTATCGACTTGGGTTATTCTTATCTTTCTATCTCAATTTTCACATTTCTATCCGCCTTTCTGTTTCAAATCTTTATCAACGTCTCCTTTAATCATATCTACTTGTCTCCTATTTTCTGGCTTTAAATAACCTGCAAAGGGTTGATAAGCCGTAAAAACGAATGAATCAATCAATGAAATCTTCATATCTATCTATCGATTTGGGTTATTCTTATCTTTCTATCTCAATTTCCAAATCAATGTCTCCTTTAATCATATCTACTTGTCTCCTATTTTCTGGCTTTAAATAACCTGCAAAGGGTTGATAAGCCGTAAAAAACGAATCAATCAATCAATCTAAAAGTCAGTGGGGAAGTCTCCATAGATGCTGGAAAGAGAGATAACACTTAATTAACTTAAGAATCCTATTTTCCTGAAAGATATTTGTAAGATAAAGAATTTAGATATTTTTCCATGGCTGTTCGGTCAATGTATCCTAAATGTTTCCTTATAAGGAAACGCCTAATACTAACATTACTGTGTCAGTTTTAAAGAGGAGGTATCCGTAGCCATACCGACGGTTTCGGGGGCTGGGCAATTTTTGTCCTTAGCCCGGATGTACACGCTTGGGGTTCCCCACGTTAAACCCGACCTTGTGCCACATCCCCTCTTAGTGGGGAGACCAGGTTAAATACCTACTATCTCAGTTTTCTGGAAAATTATTTATTTTGGACTACCATTCTTCACTTCTTCCTCTGCTTTCATAGCTCTGCAATCACTTTGCCAGTATAATCTATAACATTTTTATATAAAGGCTCGAGAGCCACTCAAATTATAATGTTGCTTTTAAAATGTTAAAGATGCATTAGGTGTGTAACATGAACGAAAGAGAATGCAGTAGGAAGTGAATATTCTGATGAGCAATGGTGAGAAGAAAAAGATCATTAAGGCCTTCAGTAATGACACCAACATTCATACTCTGGCTTCTATCTTCAAAGTCCATTCAAGAATCATCAATTGAACGGTGAATAAGTTTAAAAAAGACGGAACGATAGAAAGGAAAACTGGATCAGGAGGTCACAACAGCAAGAGGGATCATTATTTTAACTTAGAGCTAAATACATTCTCATTGTTCAAATTAGAGTCCAATAGTGTTATAAAAACCTCGGAGAATTCCAGTAAGATATCTTTAATCATTTCTAAGGTACAATGGTTCAAAGCTTAATCCAATAATTGGACAATTTTGCTGTTACACCATGTGCATCATCAAAGAAATCCTCATCAGTAGAAAATGCATACCTACGGCATATGACCACATCAATACAGATGTCTTCTCATTTATTACAAACCGTCTTCTATGTAGTAATTCCACTGAATGCATCGGTCTAATAAAGGAACTATAGCGGTCTATAAAATCGCACATGTCAGGCGTGGATTGTTTAATGAAGTTCTGAACTTTAATACAATATTCAATAGTAATTTCACCATAACGGATTCAAATGAGATCCTTCTGGGTGTATGGTTTTTGGAACTACCTTTTTGTTTTCATAGTTCATTAGTACAGTGCTTTGGGGTATGCTTCTAATTCCAGAACTCCTTCATGAAACTGAGAAACTTTTTACACTATTTACATTGTCCAGACTGTTTTCCTCATTTTTATTAACGTACTAGCAGTAGAGCCCGGCGTTGCCCGGGCATGTAACAGTAAGAGATAGATCAAGTATCGACCATAATAAAGACTGAAAAATAAAATTGACAAAGATTATTGTTTAAGGTTGACGGACACGCATGTCTTAATTAGTTATTTTTGTTTTGTTTTTGTTTTTTTTACGAATTGGTCAAACCCAAACTTAAACAAAAACATTGTTTTCAATCGTTATGAGTCTACCGATTGAATAGAATTTTATTATAAACAATTATCTCGTAAATGGAATTTTTAAAGCATTCTGAATGTAAAAATAAAGAAAAAAGTGTGCAAGACAATAAGAAACACTACCTGCCAAAAAAGTGAAGTTTTGTTGAAATCGGTTGAAAAATGTAAGAAATTCGATCCCATATATAAACAAACACACACACACACACACACACACACATACAACCAACCTGGGTTTTATAATAAGTATAACTCGATAACTCGATATTAATAAGTATAACTCGATATGAGTTGTCCCCCTTTCATTAATGCCTCTTAATCCTGTTTTCAAGTTGAATTCGGACAAAAACAATTGTGTTTTTCCAATTTTTGGCGCTGTCAGAACCACCGCAAGGTAATTTTACGTAGTCCTGTGAAGTTTTGTTGAAATCGGTTGAAAAATGTACGAAATCCAATCCAATATATAAACGTACAGACACACACACAATATGCGTTTTATAATAAACAAGATTCACAACGTTTCACCCCGGCCTTCTTCAAATGCTATACGTTTAGGATTTCGATCGAACCCTATATTTAGTCCACGAGGTTAGATTGTTCTAGTTCCTTTTCTGGATATCTCAGTTTAAGTTATTTCCTTTTAGTAACTCAACTCGCCAAATTTTTGTTCACCTCTGCTGTGGCCAAGTATTGAACTCGCACTTCTTTGGGTCAAGATACTGGATTACTCCAACCAACGCCGTTATCCATTGGTCTATGAGGACAACTGTTCGAACAATGTAAATTGTGTAAATGGTTAGAATATCTCATCTCAGAAATATAGACATATCCTGAAGACGACCAGAACGTACAACGGTCGAAACATCGTGAATATGGCAATAAAGATGAGGATAACAGTCCGAATATTGTAAATAGTTACAATACAATATCTCATAAAAATAGACAAATCCTAAAGAAGGCTGGGGTGTACAACGACCGAAACGTTGGTAATGTCAATAAAGATTATACCAACGGCCCGAACAATATAAATAGTGTAAATGGTTACAATATTTCAGCTCAGAAATATAGACAGATAATGAGAAACTTGTTTTTGAATTCCAGAATAGTAAACGACTTTCGAAAGTTTCCTCTTAATATCAAGTGATATATTATTATTATTATTTTATATATAGATTTCTTCACTTCCTCATCACTAGGTTCGTTAATATTTATGTTTGAAGACATGTTTATACTGGTATATGTTCTATTTCCTCTAGCATCGCCGGAGTCAGGATTGTGGTCGAATTTATTTCTGTGTATGAGTAGTGTTAGATTGTTATTTATAAGGTCCCCTTTGTGTACATAGATACGTTTTTTTTTTGTTTTTTAATTTATGCATTTGAATATTACTTGCTCATTTTTACTTTTCCCCAGACTTTGAATTAGGAAACTTTGTGATCTCTACATGCATTGATTGTGCTTTAAACCACTAGATAAGTATTCATGAACGTTTTCAATTTTATAAGCCTTGATAAACTAATGACATCCTTGCTTCTGTGTATATAAACACGTGCAGCATAATAAACCCTACATTGCCTTGATGAAGTCCTTCAGAGGACGAAACACGTTGGCTAAGTATAGTTTTTTCCTCTTGTCTCTTTTATTCACACACACACACACACATATATATATATATATATATATATATATATATATATATATATATATATATATATTATTAAGACATTTTTATGTTTATACGTTCTTTTTATAGCTACAAATAATATTAATAAACAGTATTAATAACATTTGCCGGCTTGAATATTCGAGAAATTTTCATAGAAAATATGCGTTCTCCGACGGTAATATAGTGTAACGTCATTTGTTTACATTTGGATACGCATCGAGCAGATATGAATGTATGAGAGAAAATCATGGAGAATTGTGGTTTAAAAACAGTAAAATCGACCGAAACACTCCTCTGTGGCTGAATCGGTAAAAGCACGTAATGCTATATGACGGTTCCGTATAGGATACAGGTTCGATTCCTGTCGGAGGACGCATATTTTCTCTGAAGATTTCTCGGATATTCAGGCTGGTAAATGCTATTAATACTGTTTATTATAAAACAGAGCATTTACTTAAATATTTGTATCTATAAAAAGAACGTATAAACATAAAAGTGTCTTAAAATAATTGTCGGAATTTGTCCATTTATATATATATATATATATATATATATATATATATATATTTAAGCAATTCATCGAGTCTGAAAGAAACCCCAACAGAACGCACTGGACGGCCGTTTCGTCCTATATTTGGGACTCATCAGCAGTGCGCATCCACTAACGAGAATTGAAAACCTGACAATTAGGTTATCAAGCAAATATCATACCAACTGTTCCAACGGGCCTCGGCGACGAAGAGATTGCAAATCAGACTTAAGATAGTGCCGCTCGCTCACATATTCCGTGGTGGAACTCTACTGAGTTCTCTCTAACCATAGGACTGTGCACCCTGGAGCCACGACTACTATCACCAAGCCACCGTCACCGAGGCCCGTTGGAACAGTTGGTACGATGTTTGCTTGACAACCTAAATGTCAGGGTTTCAATTCTCGGTAGTGGATGCGCTGATGAGTCCCAAATATAGGACGAAACGGCCGTCCAGTGCTTTCTGCATTCTGTTGAGGTTTCTTACAGATTCGATGAATTAATTAAATATAATTATCAAATCCTCCTAATAATTTCTATCCTGTATATATATATATATATATATATATATATATATATATGATAAGAGGCCACTCGTATTCGAGGATACCCGTCTACCAGGGTGGCTAGCCAATCCCTATTGCAGACTCTCGCTCAGTCACATTTGTGTTTGTTCAACACCCACAGAGCCTAGGTGTGATTTATACTGCAACTATGCTGAGCAGACCTTAGTTACAGTTTCCGGGAGAGAGCGTCTTATCTAGAATGATCAAGAATCTGAACACCAGCACACTGAAACCCTCGGTCACGATGACTTGTGACATCGTGCTAACACAGCTATCGACGGCCCCATGTGTTCCATCTACTCAACTTCACTCACAAGGCTTGGGTCAACCCATGGTATGGTTTTTCAGGTACTTTCCGAAGTTGTCCTCCCTCCAAATCGATAACATCAGGAAGTCTCCTTCCTGAAAAATCGACCATAGTGAGATTCGAACCCGGGTGTCATGGTCAGAAAGCGAATGCTAAGCACGTCCATATATATATATATATATATATATATATATATATATATATATATATATATATATATAAAAGCAAAATACGATCCTCCGTTTTTTCCTGATGTACTTTTTGTACTTATATAGGTGATAAAAAATAATTGGATCTTTTGGAATTTGAAAAAAAAGGGAAAAAAACAAGAAGACAAATTCTTATCAGTCAAGCAACCAGGTGAAAGATTTGATGAAACTGTCGTCCCGAAGAATATGTAAAGAAATATGAACGAAACATTTTGTTTGTGAATAGAATATGAAGATTTTTTTTCTTCTTGATGTTAATGGACCTTGACGCTTGGTTGGAGAAAGTGTCAAGAAGCCGTCATTCTTATTCATGGGAAAAGAAACGTAAAAATTCTAAAAATGGTTTCTAAGACAAGAACTTAGAATTGAAAAAAAGAAAAAAAGGGGGGATTGTATAAAAGAAGGAAAAATAAAATGTTTAAAAAAAAGGCCGGACAAAGAAAATATATATAACAGTGAGAAGGAAAGAATTAAATGATGAAAGAAGGTGGAAAGAACGAAGACGAAAGGAGAGCAGTGATATCTGAAGAAAGGAGAGCAAAAGATAGAAGACTGGACTATGCAATGCTCGAATAAAAAGAATGGATGGAACAGATTAAACGACAGCAACTCAAAATTTTAAGTAAAGAATAATGTGGTTAAATAAGGAATGAGGAAGAAGAACTGAATAAAGAGGCTAATGTGAAAAGAAAGAAAAAACAAATGAAGTAAGAAAAAAGAAAAAGAAAGAAAAGTTTAATAGAAGAAGGAATGATGGTAAAGGAAATAGTAAAAGTAAGAAACTAATGGCAGTCGAAGTGAAAACGAAAGAATGAAAACAAGATAGAAAAGGGAAAGAGGAGAAGAAAGAGATTAATAGCACTCGAAGTGATATAAAAGAAAGAAAAGCAGAAAGAGAAAGAGAAAAAGATAGAGACCAATGGCAATCGATGTGAAAGTAAAAAGAGCTTCGGAAAGAAAGAAAACAATCTCAGAAAGTAAAAAGTAAAGGATAGTAAAGACAGTCAAAATGAAAGAAAGAACGAAAAACAGAAAGAAAGAAAGAAAGAAAGAAAGAAAAAAAGAAAGACAGGCAAAAAGAAAGGAAGTAATGAAAAACAAAAAGAAAAAAGAAAGAAAAAATAAAAAAGCGATGGTGGAAAGATAAAGAGGAAAAGAGAGAATGAATAGAATGAAAGCAACGTAATAAAGAAAAAGTAAAAGAGAATACAAGCAGTCAAACTGAAAGAAAGAAAAACAGAAAAGAAAGAAAGAAAGAAAGACAAAAACGTAAAGAACGAAAGAAAAATACAAAGAAAGAATGGACTAAAGGAAGAAAGAAAAGAGGAAAGAGAAAGATGAAACGAAAGAAACCAATGGCAACCGATTTGAAAAAAAGACCTTCGGAAAGAAAGAAACAAAGAAAGAAAGAAAGAAAGACAAAAGTAAAATAAAGTAAAAGCAGTTAAAGTAAAAGAAAGAAAAAACAGAAAGAAAGAAAAATAGAAAGAAAGAAATGTCGAAAGGGAAAGAGGAAAAGGAAGAAACTGATGGCAACAAAACAGAAAGAAAGACAAGAAGACAGAAAGAAAAACGGAAAGAAAAAAAAAGAAATTAAGAAAAACAGAAAGAAGGAAAGACAAAAAGAAAAAGAATGTAGAGTGATTTTGAAAGGAGGATTAGACGAGTGCAAAGACCCACATGAAGAAGAAAAGATGAAAAATGCTGAAAAAAATAAAAGACTGAAAATTCATGAAACAGGAATTTTAAAAAAAATAAGAAATATGAGAAAAGAAAAAAAAAGACAGAAACTGTAACAATGATAAAAAGAATAAAAAGAAAAAGAAAAACACAACAGAAAGAAAGAACGTAAGTAGGTTTTAAAGTATGGTGAGAGAAGAGAAAAAAAAGGAAAAAAAATCCTTAAAACTTCAACGTTCGTTAGAATTGTCTGGGATACAACTATGGAACTAAATCTCAGAACAAGTCACGCACCTGCGAATTTGTTGTAAGACAAAATTTGAAAAAAAAAAGAAAGGAAACTATGCAACACACACCAGAAACAAAGCTTCCTCATACAAAAAAAAGCCAAGAAATAAATATATAAAAGAAGAAGCTCCCTAAATATACACATTATCTGTTTTTTTTAAATGTACTGAAAAAATATAGCGAAAAGATAAAAAAAAAATGCCTTTAATGCCTTATATATATATATATATATATATATATATATATATATATATATATATATATATATATATACATTTTATAATAGTTTTTCTTTACTTTTCTCTCTTTTATTCCAAAGACCATGAGAAATTTTCTAGTTTGGTAGCCATAGAAATTTGCCAAAAGAAACTGATTTTCCCAGCTACTCTTGTTCACGTGCACTCACTATTGAAGGCTTCTAGTGCTACCCTCGGGTTGTTTTACTCGCGGAAATCGACGACATCCGGTATTTGAATTGCTTGTTTCCGTTTTCGTCCTTTCTTTCTTTTTTCTCTTTTATCCTAATTTTTTTTTATTGTTTTTGTTTGGTTTTCTTCGTTTTTTTTTTGTTTTTTTTTTCATTGTTTAATGCTTTCTATTCTCTCGTTGAAAACCAAACAAATATAAAAATAAACAAACGGAATAGAAAAAATAACATTTACTTTTATTGGAAACACTAGATGACAAAGTGAGGCCTAAAGTGCGAAACATCGTTAAAAACAAATATGGAAGACAAAGGCAAATTATTTGGAATTGATATCTGAAACATGCCTCATTACGCCAAACGCTTCGAGCAATATAGCCACTAAGATCGATGCAAAATAATAATACAAAGCTCTATAAAACAATCAATATTGATAAAATCATCAAGACCTATTTATGCTTCTGCCTGAATTACTGGAATGAGAAATTATCATTATTTACACTTTATTCGGACTAGTGCCTTTGTTGTTGTTATTACAATGTTTCGACCGCTGTGCCCTTCGACTATCCTCAGGTATATATTAATCTGGGTATCCTTATGGGAATTCTAAAACTGAACCATTTATTTAATCTATGAGGTTAGAATAGTGTTTCTCAATCTTTTAAGCAACGGCATGTTTAAGATCAAACGAAAATATCATGGAAGACTTAGCAAAGATTTTAAAGGCAATACATTTAAATGTTATGAAATAAAACCATGGATTTTTAAGCAATGCATACACCAAATATAAACTTACTTTAGTTCTATTCATCTATTTGTGTAGATTATTTCGTTTGAAACCTGCATCTAGTGTTTTACCGCGATTTCTACAATGTTTGGTCGAATGTGCAATAAGACCAACATTTCTTCAGTTTTCTTTTTTGAAGAATTCAATAAAATGAAACCAAATTCGTTATTCCATGATAGAATAAATGGTTCAGAAGAAAGTTGAGTTCCAAAAAATTTGAAATTCAGAAACCCATCATAATATTGGGATAACTAAATAATTATCTCATGAATTTATGGGAATAAAAGATATTATAAAAAATTACAGGAACCTGACATCTTGCTTGATGTAACCGTAAGTTCTATGTTTGCAGTTTCTCTCTTTTACTTTCTTGCTTCCAGTCAACTTTGGTCTTCAAAAATTTAATTGCAATGTCAGTCTTCTGTCTCCTTAATTCCTGTTTTTTTATTGTTCTCTCTCCTTGATACTGTTTTTTTATCGTATATTCTAACACTCAGTAAGCCTGTGCATCTGAGTGACTTTATTGCTTTGCTTGGGGTGAAAATATATTAAGGTTTCCCTGGTGCTTAATAGACGTAATACACAGTGTTTCAAAGTAAAAACTAGGCGTCGATTTAAAAGATGCAAATCCACTAAAAATAAAGTCTGAAAGTAATAAAAATGTCGCATGTTTAGACTTTAGCGGAGATTACATCCACTATTCAAAAGACATATTTAGTCAGCCAATATAATGGCCGCTGGAGGTAGAGTTTTATAGAAGACCCGTTTTTATTTTAAACAGTCTGTATTACATGTATTGCAAACACAGATATCTACTAAAAATAATGTTTGAAGTAATAAAAATGTTGGATTAAAAATAAATACAGTAATTCTTTAGAAAGATATATATATATATATATATATATATATATATATATATATATATATATATATATATATATATATTATAAATTAATTGATTTAAAAATAGGGTTTTCCATACACAGTTCTAACCATGTTTCAAAAATGGAAGCTAGCTTCCATTTTTGAAAATATAGTTAGAACTGTGTAATGAAAAAAAACATATTTTAAATCAATTAATTTATAATATTAATGCTCTGTAAATTTACATCGAGCACTATTTTGTAAAAATAAAATACCTATGAGAACACCGGATTATATATCTTACTGTTCTTTTTTTTTTATTTATATATATATATATATATATATATATATATATATATATATATATATATGTGTGTGTGTGTGTGTGTGTGTGTGTGTGGGTGAGTGTATATATGTGTGTGTGTATATATATATATATATATATATATATATATATATATATATATATATATATATATATATAGTCAAACCTAGAGAGCCAGACAAGCCTACCAAGTTTTTCACCTAAGCGGATGGTCAGGGAAAGCTTAGGTGAAAGCTTTCCTGACGATCCGCTTAGGTGAAACCTTGGTAGGCTTGTCTGGCTCTCTAGGTTTGACTAGGTCTGCTCTACTTTTTGTATTGAGCACTTTTTTGATTAGTTGATTACTGGTATCGGTTTTTTTTTGTGGGGGGGGCTTTGGACCTGTATGCTGTACGATTATCTTCGACAGACGTTCATGTTCCTAGCTCTTTCTTTTTTTAAAAACCTTTTTTTCCTTCGAAATTGATTTGATCATTAGCAAATCAAAAATCGAAGGTTTTCGAGACGAGTGTAGTTACCTATATATATATATATATATATATATATATATATATATATATATATATATATATATATGTGTGTGTGTGTGTGTGTGTATGTATTCATATTGGATTGGATATATCCATTTTATATTTGCATACGCTCTATCCCTGATATTGAACACTTTAGCCCATAAATATAGCGTCCCTTAAAACTATATTTTTGTCAGCCTTGCTCAAGGCAAGACGACGTGAATTATCCGAGTTCGAACTGGACCGAATAGTGGAAGCTAATCGGATAGTAAATTTCATCTTTGAAAATGTGGAAACATTTCTCATACCTCGATCTACGGTGTCACGTAGATATCTGTACGGTTTCTATGACGTCATACCACGCGATAGACCGAAGTATTACAACAGATCCAATGTCTACATGCAATGTAATGTGTTGTGACTAGGTTGAAATGTAATTTTGTTGATTGTGGGTTGCTTTTTGCGCTATTTACATACTTGTATTCGCCATTAATTGGTCGATGTCTGTTCAGGGTGACCTTTCCTGACTTCTTTTTTTCCTTTAAGAATATCCCACATTATGATTGGATAACATCTTGTTTGCTCCACCAAGAAGGTTCTGAGAACGTTACATTCTTTCTGCAATTCTGTTTGTTATATTTTGGTGATGTGCTGATTTCATACTATTTAATATTTTACTTTTACCCTAATCGGGACAGACCGGGACTGTCCTGCTTAAGGTAAATAGCGGGACAGAGTAGGTCCTATAGTTAATATTTATTTTATTATTTTGTATTATTAGTTGAAATTAGAATAAAAAAAAATGTTGTGGGCAGTACTGCACATTCTTTCAAAACCATTATTTCATCATTTGTGAAAAAATGCGCATGAAGTTTTATTTGTAATTAAGGGATGTGGCGCGAATAATTCTATCCACAAATATATATATATATATATATATATATATATATATATATGTGTGTGTGTGTGTGTGTGTGTGTGTGTTAATTTATCTTCATATATTCTTCATATATATATATATAAGCATATGAAGATTAACAAACATATATATATATATATATAAAGTCATCCACAGACATACCTACAAATTAACAAATGCACATATAAATACAAATAAATGCAATGATAACAATCAACCACAAATAATTAAGTAATCAATTATATATAATGAGTAAAAGGTTAACAATGACACCATAAAATAACTACAAATAACAGCATTGAGAGCCACTATTATTCCTAATCAATACTCTCTAGAATAATTTGAAGAATAACAGTTACCGTCCCACACAGTAACCGTCAAATTAATAAAATGACTACCCATAATGCACCACTGACAATCATATATAGTCGAGCCACCATATCACACACACGGCCCGAAGATTTCACTGAAGCATGAAAGAAACTGTCGCCGTTTGGTCACTGGATCTAATCAATATAAGCTCTGGTAAAAAAAAAAAATGAAATAATAATAACAAAAAATTGCAATATGAGCACTGGTAAAAAAAATATTGCTGAGATATTACGTTTATAAGTCCCAGAAATTCATATTCAGATGTCCTCAGTGGATAAAGACGTTCTGTCTTCATGCAACCTATTCTTTTATTGTTCTTTCTTCTCATTTTTTTTTCAAAAGTATGCTGGCATATCACAATTGCTGACAGAGACGAAGGAATGAGTTCTCGTTTAAAACCAATATATCTTAACCTACAACTGTATTTGCCGAGGGGTTAGCGGAAAAAAAGAAGAATGATTCCGTCGCCATATTTTAAGAACTGGAAATCATAGGATTTATTAATGAAATGGTATGATCATGCATGGGGAGAACACAAAGTGTTATAATTGAGACTTTAACAAAAAGTATGCGAGTAATATTCAAGAATTTATATATATATATATATATATATATATATATATATATCTGTGTGTGTGTGTACATTATTCTTAGTTGATACTTGTATTTGAGTAGAGACTCCATTTATTTATTAAACTCGATATCTAAATCTATATCTACCGGCCTGAATATACGAGAAATCTTATTAGAAAAATATGCGCTCTCCGGCAGGAATCGAACTTACGTTCCCCTTGAGAGAAACCGTCATAGATCGGACGTGTTTTTGACTCTACGGGGCGCGTCGATGACCAAGCAAAGTCTTAATAGTGCCTTTAAACACAGATTTTTCTCCGATTTTTGAAATAGACGTATCTGCTCGGTTTCGTATTTTAACGTAAACAAGGCAACTTCGAAAGAAAGGAAATAAGCTCAACATACAAGACAGAGCTTGTATAAATATAAGAGGTGTGCACCCTGATGTCAACACGGAAAAACGACAGTCTGTTGAATGTGTGAACGCCATCTTCATAGCCTTGCGATTGCGTGTGTGTCTAAGCGGTAAGACTTTTTACGTCAGCTGAAGAATCATTTCCATGGAGATGAATGAACTGCCCATCTTTATGCAGTGGACACTTTTCGTGACGTATTTGTCCAACTACATGCAATGGGTTTTCCCGTGACATTGTAGAAAATAGAATTTTAAATTATGTTAAAGCCGATAAAGAAGACTCCATAAATATTCAATGGTGAATAGAATTTTATTTGTTTCAGGAACTTCCGAATATAAACGCGTCTGTCCGGAATAACATAAGATGACACTATCATTTCCGACGCTGGAGCTAAAACTATTTTTAATATAAATTTTAAGTTATATAAGTCTACCTAATATAAATATGGTTAGTAAGTGCAGTGTAGGCGTTAGGTAATCTGATATGATATTATTGTCAGAAGGTCGTCCAACAAATATTGGTTGCGATGCGAACTGAGGTCGAGCTGCAATCACCGATAAAAACGTTCAGTTAAAAATAGGAAATAGGAACAACGTTGACTTATTTAATTTACAATAACCTTGTTCTTTGTAATGATTTTTATATAATTTTATTTATACTGTAGTATGTTTGGGCTGACATACCTGCATTATTTTTCTTAAACAGTGAAATTTATATTGGCCGGCCGAGATCGTGAAGTCCTACAAAAGAAAAATGTGACTCTCGACCGGAAAAGAGCCTGTCATGCCTTTTATCAACAGGGAAACTACATGTATAGCCGATGGTTGGTGCATTCCTTAAGTGGGTCACATTACTGGAAATATCTGAATAGTGATTTAGATAGATAGATAGATAGATAGATAGATAGATAGATAGATAGATATATCACAGACTGAGATAGATAGATAGATAGATAGATAGATAGATAGATAGATAGATAGATAGATAGATAGATAGATAGATAGATAATGAACAGAATGTGATAGATAGATAGATAGATAGATAGATAGATAGATAGATAGATAGATAGATGCTGAACAGAATGTAATAGATAGATGGATGATAGATAGATAGATAGATAGATAGATGAATAGATACTGAACAGAATGTAATAGATAGATAGATAGATAGATAGATAGATAGATAGATAGATAGATAGATACTGAACAGAATGTAATAGATAGATAGATGATAGATAGATAGATACTGAACAGAATGTAATAGATAGATAGATAGATAGATAGATAGATAGATAGATAGATAGATAGATAGATAGATCACAGACTGAGATAGATAGATAGATAGATAGATAGATAGATAGATGAAGATAGATAATGAAAAGAATGTAATAGATAGATAGATAGATAGATAGATAGATAGATAGATAGATAGATAGATAAATAATGAAAAGAATGTAATAATAGAATGATAGATACTGAACAGAATGTGACAGATATCAAAAGACTTAGATCACATAGAGATAGATAGATAGATAGATAGATTATGAACAGACTGTGATATATATATATATATATATATATATATATATATATATATATATATATATATATATATATATATATATATATATATATATATATATATAGATAGATAGATAGATAGATAGTAAGAAAAAAGAAAGAAAGAAAGAAATCAAGTAAAGAAGCCTGTTGCTCGGATTTGCTAGGGAAAGCAGTAAAGAAATGCACGTTTTGAGTAAGGGGGGGGGCAATGGAAAAATTTAGTGTTCGCATACCGGCAACATTGGTAACATTAGAATGTTTAAATCACATGTAGTGGTGCGTATTAAAATCAACGAAGACAAAGATGTTCGCAGATGGATGGAGAGACAGTGCTGTTTCTAAGCTATCAGATATTATATCTAATATGCTGCAGTCCTGGGAAGCGGTGAAGCGATAAAGAAAAAAATGATAGCTAACACAGTTTAATAATGAAAGACGAAAATACATGAAAGATTTATGTTGGGACTGGAGAGACCATTCCTTTGCCAACGGGAGATTATTCTGGATGTAAACACCAAGGCAATGCAATATAGATAGATATATGTAGTTATTTTTAAATGAAAATTTTAATCCAGTATTATTTCTTATTACAATGAACGTTATTTTAATGGAGACACGTGTTGGAATAGATATCTCATTTTTTTTCCTTTTTTTTAATGCTTCTTAAAAGTTAAATTAAGATCAACAAATAATATCAGCGGCTCACAGACTATAACAACACCAACAAAACAAAGACGCACACACATTCATACATGTGTATATATATAATGCACACAGACAGAAAATAGTAAATGATTTTCAAGAATTATAGTAATATTTTAGCAAATAGCAATTTTTTAAAACCTTGAAAAATATCTGTCTCTATCTCTGAGATGAGGTATTATAATTACTTACTCTATTTACATTATTCGGACTGCTATCCTCGTTTTCATTGCCATATCCACAACGTTTCGATCGTTGTACGCTCCGGTGATTAGAATTTCGAACCAAACCCTTTATTTCGTCCACCGGGGTAGATTGTTCTAGGTCAACGTGCCATGTCTTTTCAGGATATCTCAGTTACTTCCCTTTAACTCAACTCTTCAATTTTTGGTTCACCACTGCTGTGGCCTGGTATTGAACTCACAACTCTTTGGGTCTAGTCACTGGATCTAGCCAAGGTCTTTATCCATTTGTCCATGTGTCCTTGAGAACACATGGTCCACTGGATAAAAACGTTATTTAGTGGATAAAGATATGAAAGGTATAAACATGGCCCAGTGGATAAAGATATTTTTCACAAATTTTTATGAATATATGTTCCTATTAACAGTTGCTTCTTATGCAACTTGAATCTGCGAACCTATTTCAAATCCTCATCGTGCAATCCCAGGGTCCGACACCTTTCGAAAAGTTTTGCCTGAAAATACCACGAGTTGACCCAAGCCTTGTCAGTGAAATTGGGTAGACGGAACCCTCGGCGGCCGTTGATAGCCATGCTAGCACGAAGTTACATGTCATCGTGGCCGAGGGCTTGAGTGTACTGGCCTTAATCACGCTAGATAACACGCTTTTTTCCCCATAAACTGCAATTAAGGTCTGCTCAGAATAGCTGCAATATAAACCACTTTTTTAAAAATTTTTACTGTAGGTGTTGAATAAGTACAAATCCACCTGAGCAAGCGTCTGCAATAGAGATTGGCTAGCCACCCTAGTTGACGGGTATCCCCGAATACAAGTGGCCAGCTATACATACATAATCGTTAGGTTAGCCTTTTACAAGTACTTTTTAGAGAAGTTTTATTAAAAAAAAAGTTACATTTGTCTATGAAAATTTCTATTTTTAGAATTAGTCGTTAAAGAACCGCCAAAATGATTTCTTCTATGGGGAAGTTAAAAAAAAATGCTCTATTGTTTTATTTACTGACCAATCAGAAACGTGGGCCCATGCCCTCGTAAATTTTAAAAACATGATCAGTCTCTGAATCCTCTTGTTTTTTATAATTTAATGAGATCAGAATGTAATCAGATTTCAAGGAAGAAAGAAGTTGCAATGTAAAAGTGAGTGATAAGTGACTCAAGAGTGACAGAATCTGCTGATTCCAAATTCTTCTAAATTTCAAAGAAAGAAAGAAATCAAGTAAAGAATCCTGTTGCCCGGATTTGCTAGGGAAAGTAGTAAGTGAATAGATAACAAAATTTAATCCTGAAGGCAGGGGTGGTATGGGATATTGCCCGTTGCCTGAGAAAAGAATTTGCAAAGGAATCGAAACCTGTTATACAGAACTTTTCTATAAATGTCCCTGTGAAATCAGTCTTTTCAAATCATCTTAGCTCCCTTCGTGCTGATACATTCATTTTCGTCTTGCAGTTAGCTGGGTGTACCTTTTGTCATTTGACTCTTACGATTTTGCGCGGCAAAAGATCGGTTGGAAGACCTCATCAGACCTACATTGACTAACTTGTAGATAACTCTGGATGAACTATAGAACTGCCGACCGCGATGTCTGACAGAGATGGTTGGAAGGAACGAGTCAGGAGAATTCGAGAAGAATTCTCTACCTGATGATGTAATTCATTAATGTCCAACTGTTTCCCAAGGCAAAGAGGAACTACTTTAAGGCCACGGTAGAATCTGTCCTGCTCTACGGCTCAACAACATGGACACTAACGAAACACGAACAGCATCACTTGATCGAACATACACAAGGATGTTACGAATAGCATTGGACATCAGTTGGAAGAATCACCCAACAAAAAACGTATGTATGGACAACCTCTATCAATCTCAGTTTCGCTAAGACAGAGAAGGCCTCGGCTAGCTGCTCACACCTGGAGGAGTAAGTCAGAACTTGAGAATGAGACCTTCCTATGGAACCCATTGTGCGGCCAATGATCAGTTGGAAGACCACATCATACCTACAGTGACCAACTTGTAGATAACTCTGGATGCTATCTGGAGGAGCTACCGGCGGCGATGTCTGACATAGATGGTTGAAAGGAACGAGTCAGAATCCGTGAAGAATTCTCTACTGATGATATAACTCATTAATGTCCAACTGTTTCTAAAGACAAAGAGTGACTTCTTTAAGGCCACGGTAGACGGAACATCAAGAAGCATCACTTGACGGAACATGCACAAGGATGTTACGAGTTGCATTGGATATCAGTTGGAAGAATCACCCAACAAAGAAACGTATGTATGGACATCTTGCTCTTATCTCAGCTTCGCTAATAGAGAGAAGGCTTCGGTTAGCAAGTCACTCCTGTCAGAATTTGTGAGTAACACCCTCCTATGGGACCCATATCGTAGCAAACGTAATTGAACAACTTGTAGATAACTCTAGATGCCATCTGGATGACCTGCCGACAGCAATGTCTGACAGAGATGGTTGGAAGGAACGAGTCAGGAAAATCCAAGAATTTTCGACCTGACGATGATGATGACCTTTTGTATTTTCTGTTTTATCAGTTTATAATTTTTTTTATTTTTTATTATTGTAATCTTTCTTTAAGTCATGTATATTGCTTGAAATGTTATCCACTCTTATTTTGTTAATAAAGTGCACAAAGGGACATTTTTATGCAAGCTCTTGTTTATAAAATATTGTATTTGTCTTTTTAAATATGTAATGTAATAAATGTTTGTATTTTTAAATTTTATATTGAGTCTTATTTGTTTGCGCCTTGTTTAACATTCGAGATAAGAATGGTGACGTGCTCACTTTTCCCATTCCGCTTCAAGTAAACAAATTCTTATCTTTTGTACCAAAATAAATTTTGTATAAGAATTTTTCTTATATTTTTGCCTAGTTTCTATTTCCAAACGTTCATTCTCTCCAATTTTCCTTGATTTCGAATTTAACGGTGCTGTCTGATTTTACTTTGCCTAATTAGAGCATCAAATCATCAAATCATCAAATGGCTACCCAGCTCGTACGGACCCGAGAAAACGTTGCTTCGCTTCAGTAATCAATTAAGCCGATCTTTCTAGCCTACTTATTAATAGAAAGAAAACATAAGTAACATGCGTAACACGAGGGGAACGAATATTTACACAGTATTCGTAATACCCGCTAAGGATCTGTGTATTAAAAAAAATACAGTTTGAGTTTGTTGAACAAGAGCGATGGATAATATTTACTAGTGTTTTTATTTATTCTTACTAAAGTAATAATAGGTCTGTGTGGAAACCGATCCTCGGAGCACCGCAGACAAGACGGTAAACAACATTTCGCTGGTCAGTACCGTCTGACATTGGCGAGCAGACATACAACAAGACGCCATGTTTGGAAACTGCAACAGATACAGCACGGCACAACCACTGCAGACGGTCATAGATATTTTTCCCTACTACTCGCTGTTGAAACTGAAATATTTAAGTGAGACTATATATATATATATATATATATATATATAGTTCATGAGCAAAAAAACAATGCAAGGCATACGCATGCGCACACACGAACACAGTAATATACAATATACAAATGCTTATTCGCAGACGTTGTTCTTTTTTTCCGCACGGTCACGCGCATGCGCGGACGCACATAAGGCCTTCTCTGTTGTTAGGATAGTTTTTATAACAAATCGTATTTATAACCGGCTTGGTCAGCCTGACCTATCATTTAGGCTGTGCAGTGTATGTACGCATGCGCACAGGTCCAGACGTACACGGACGCACAAACTATAACAACACACAAGTGTATATATATATATATATATATAGGGAATATAAAATATAATAGGAAGATAAAAAGGCAGTTTTTGCGTATAACACTTCATGTCAAACTGTGTACCCAAGGGCATGATGGTAATTTATACTGTCAGACATGTTTAAACCCGAATGGACACTAGCCACTACTCTGCCTAATTTTTATGGTATGACTTTAATTAGGTTGGCACCATTTTAAAAATTCTATTCTTTTTAAACGATGTACCGTGGACACATATCTTAATTGGTAGGAGTCAAAAGCTGCATTTATAATGTTAAAAAAATGCACATAGACACACCATTAAGTCCCTAGCCTAATAAAGAAGAAAAATAAAACTAAAAGCAACTATTTCACTAAATAAATTTTTATTTTTCAACAAAATTTGCTTCCTTGTCAATGCACTTAAACTAAATCTTCTCATTAATCACCTCGATATTATACAATGAAAATTTCAGACCAAACTTTAGTTAATAACTATGATCCAGTTACGGCCTTATTGCTTGATCCAGGTTAGGTTGGGTTGATGGCTTTTGTGATACTTTTAAATACTTATACGATACTTTTTGTTATATAGGATAAAGTGTTGCTGTCGACACTTGAGTTTGGACATAGATCGCCAGTGAACAAACACAGGCGACCCCCTTATTGAATTAATTAGACCGTGTGACTATAGAGGAAACGCATAAGTAGGAAGTAACGTGGCGTCTAATTGATCGTTATTTCTAGTCTATCATCTATTACTGTACGGTCTGCTATTCTCTACTCTATTCACTGTACTATGGTTACTAAGCGAGTATTATCAAGCAAGTACTATTAGTGCGAGTAATATTCGAAGGCGTCTGACACCAACATTGTTCAACGGCTTAACTATAGTTGTATCTGCGATTACAAAGTCTCTACTACAACGAGCATTCACACCTTTGAACTTTTCCTCATTTTGTTGTTATCAACTGGAATAAAACTTGATTTAAATGGTATTTTTATTATTTAATCAACACAAAATGATAAGTGCTTTGACGGTGTAAAACATATAGTGATGCAAACAATAATTAGGAAAATAAGACAATAAAATAGTCATCTCTTGGATGCATAAATATTCACCCCCACACACACCCGAGTCAATATTTTTCTGAAGCAGCTTTTATTGCAATTATAGCTGCAAGCTTTTTGGTGTGTGCCTCTACCATCTTTGCACATTTAGTAGACTGAAAATGTTCCCCATTCTTTACAACATAGCCCAAGGTCATTTATATTGGATGAAGGCTATCCGTGAATATCAATTTTCAAGCCTTTCCACAGATTCTGAGTTGGATTTATTTGGGGGGCTTTGACGAGGACATTCTAAGAGATGCTATGATTGAAACCATACCATTGTAGCTCTGGCTGCATGTTTATGGACATTCCAATGTTGGAAGGGGAACCTCCACCCAGTCATAAGTCTTCTGTAGACTGTAAAAAGTTTATTCGAGGATTACCCTGTATTTGATTCCATTCATTTTTCCTATCAACTCTAACCAGCTTCACTGTACCTGCTGAAGTAAAGCATCGCTACAGCATGATGCTATCACCACAACCACCATGTTTCATAGTGGGGGTGGTTTTCTCACGGTGGGGTACAGTGTTAGGTTTCCGCCACCCGTAGCGTTTTGCATGAAGGCCTGAAAGGTCAAGTTTAGTCTCATCTGACCAGAGCACACTCTTCCGCATGTTTACTGTATATCCCACTACAAATGGGACATCTTATGGCTTTCTTTCAACAATGGCATTTTTCTTGTCACTGTTCTATAAACGTCTGGTGTGCGGACAGATTCCCTTACCTGAGGTGATGAAAGAGAGTGTCGTTAATATCCTTCTTGGATGTGTATCCCTTAATCAATCCGTCCTAAAACCTTTTTTTCAACTGCCTAAACCCAGTAAGGAAAGAGAGTGTCGTTATTATCCAACAAGGTGTTTCCACTATTAAAAACACCCTGTGTGTTCCTATTGGCGTTGTCACAACAGTTTTTTAAATCAATTATGCAATTTCCTTCATATATAGATTTGGTAAAAAAAAAATTATCTTTTTTATCGTTTTACCCCCAAGCAAGGCGATAATGCCACAAGAACGCGGCCAGGTGGCGGGGGTTGGATTGCAGTGACTTAACTTGAAAGAGAATGAGAAGACTAAAAATGGGGGGGGGATTGAGGAAAGGACAAAAAAAAACGAACAGTGTTCAAGAAGACAGAATATGGTGATTTACGTTGCATTTAAATTATTGATGATTGTAGTTATCAGGGAAGCAAGAAATCAGAAGGGAGTTGGACAGGTTGGAAGTGCGAGAAAACAAACCGTTGGAGTGGAAGTTTCGGTTGCATTTAACTATTTCAACAGTTGCCAATCTAGTAGCACGCTTAAATTCATGTCGCTGGAGCATCAGGGAAAAAAAGCTAATCAGAGCAGTTGCTATGAAAATGTTTGTAGAAAAAATAGAGGGAAGTCCCATAATGTCGGTGAGAAAGTGATTGAAGTCGAGAAGCAAGGACAGGATTGATATACATTACAGATTCTCCTTTGATTTTGTCAAGAATTTCGAGAAGTACAGCAGGAACACCATACCAGATTTGACAACAGTTTGCAATGCACGGACGAATGTGTATGTTTCCTTCCTAACCTTTTGTTTCAAATGGTGTGGGACCTCAACATCTGTATTATATCATCATTTTCTCTTGGAGTTACATACAATATCTATTTTACATGTTCCTGTTAATTCAATATTCATTCCCACCCGAAAAGCTTATTTTTAAAATCCCAAATACATTTTTTAATTGTTTCGCCCCAAGAAAAGCGGGAATGCCACTAGTACGCATGGGATTACAGAGAGTGAAAGTCAGTGAAAAGACTGGGCATAGGAGGGATCAAGAAATGGATAAAAGTTGAATGGGGTTCAAGAAAATAACGATTGACGTTGGATTTAAATTTCTGAGGATTGTAGTTATCAAGTAAACGTAAATCACTTCCACAAATTGGAATTGCGACAAAAAATGTTGAAGTAAAAGTGGCGGTTACATTTAACTAATTCAACAGTAACTGAGTGGAACCTAAATACCAATCTAGTAGCACGCTTAAACACACGTAAATCGGGCACCAGGGCAAAAATCTGGCTGGATTTGAAATGCCTGGTGATGATCGATTATCATTCTATATGTCTTCCTGCCATCGACAAGAATACGCTATTCACACTGGCTCCATGGCCACAACGTGGCAAGGAATTAACGTTTGTTTGGTCCCGGATGTTCTAGCCCTGCGGTAGTACTTTCCTCATTGCAGTAAGAGAGGTAGGGTTGGTGGATAGCAGCGGGACAGTGGTTATGGGGACTGAGGCAAAATTTTTGTCCTTGGTCCAAATGCGTATGCATGTGCATGGCGCTCCCCACGTAAAAACCTCCTTCTGTCGCATCTTACCTTAGTGTATGTGTGTGTGTGTGGGGGGGGGGTAAATATATCTGACAACTCTGTCGATGTATCCTTTTTTTTATATTATATCATTCCAAGAAATAACAGAACCAAATATTTAAAGTGTTTTTTCACATTTTCTTCCATATATTCTATATCTTTCTTCAAGTGTCACGTTCGTACGGAAAACGTGTGTCGTCAGCATATCAAGAAAGGTGTGAATCATTGAATTTATTGCTTTGGGTATTTTTTTAAACCACATCGCTTGAGGATTTTCAACAGCAGCAACAACTAAAATGGATAGCGCATGTAATTCGAAAAATAATGACATAATAAAGAAGTTGACACTCCACACTACTTTAGATAAAAGTTTAGGAAGGAAACCCTTATCAGCACTGGAAAGAGCAGTAATGGACTTAAACTTATTTTCAAGAAAAATTATTTTACTAGAAAGCTTTTATAAATTTCAACCAATAGCTGTTCGGTCGGTAAATGCTGAATATTTCCTTATAAGTAAATGGCTAGTATTAGCATTACCATTACCATTTATTCAATACATTTTACAACGAATTTTAAGAGTACAATCATTAAAGAAAGAATACACAATTGGACCATTGAAAAGTTGCATTTGGGGATGTCAGAATGGTTTGGTTTGATTGGGTTTTGATTTGTTTTGTTTTACGGTATACCAGCCTGAATGGATTATTTAATGCCGACAATATTACCACCGCTGGTAATATATTTTCCAAAACTGTATTGCTGTTATTACCTTTTTCTTCAAAAATGCATTGCTGGTAATATTTTTTCCTTCAAAAATGTATTACTGGTAATAATATATATTTTTTTTAAATATACTGCTGGTAATCATGTATTGCTGGTAATAATTATTTACAAAAATCTGTTGCTGGTAATAATTTTTCCTCAAAAAATTTATTGATGGAATTAAAACCAATTTTACACTTTCATAGTGTTTTGACTCCATTTGGGGGATTAACTATTTGCCTATATTTGGGACCCTAACAGGTTCTACCACTTCGAGTCAAGGAGGCGCTTGGCAACACAAGCAATTAAGAGGTGATTCCACACTTCTCAAAACCTCCTGATCAGAGACCTTGCTGTTGAATGTAGTTTATCGTCTTACCCAAGACGTGGATGCAGTTTATCGTCTTACCAAGGGCACCGGATGTAATTTATCGTCTTACCCAGGACGCTGATGGATTTTGGGGTTAACTATTTGCCTATAGTTCGGGCCCTAACAGGTGCTACCGCTCCGGGTCAGGGTGGACCTGGGAACACCAGCAATTAAGAGGTGAATGTAGTTTATCGTCTTACCCAGGGCGCCGGATGTAGTTTATCGCCATACCAAGGACGCGCTGTCAGAATGAATTCGTCAGTCCATTCGACATTTTTTTCCAAGTGTACAGTCAGTAAGGAAAGAGCATGTCATTAACATTCATTTTTTTTCTCAGACTCATTTTTACTTTGTTACTGGCATTATCACAACATTTTCATTTATTCATTCTAGAACCTTCTTTAAGTTAAGAAAAAGTAAAAAACAAAGTGTTTTTGGAAAGCTATGATTTGTTTCAGAAAGGATAGTGTAATGGTTTCTCGTTGCATTCTGCAAGGTGAGTTTATTACGATATAACCTCTAGTCAATTGGTCATTAACTCATTAGCGTTCTTCCGTTCTTTACTGTCCTACAAAGTCTAACCACTCTACTCGAAACTTATGGAGAGGTGCGAGAGAGCCTGTTTAATCACAGACCAACCGACAATAAAAGAATGAAGCATTTGATTATAAATTCTTATTGTATTATGCGCTTGTATGTATGATCGTTCTTAGGAAGGATAGTGGTGTGGTTTCCCGTTGCCTTCTCCACAGTGACCTTATTGAGACATTACTAGTTAACTGACTGATCTTATTTTTAGCTTCCAGGCTGACCACTCGATAAAAATGAATTAATTAATTCAATGAAGGGTTCGATTGTAAGTTTTAACTTGGTTAACGTTTTAAGCCTTTTTTTATTTTAGATAAAAGCTCCACTTATGAATAGTACTACTATTTGTTTTAAATCTACTGGGAAATATTCTGCTTTGAAAACAAATTAATTATACAAAATACACACGTTTATAGATAGGGCATTCAATAAAAACACTTCAAAAAGATTATGCATTTTGTTTTATCTCAAGAAGTATTGAGAAAACTTACACCTCGTACTTGCATTGGCTCTGGAGCCAACAGGGAAAAAAAAAAAGAAAAAAAAAGTATATTCTTTCTACTGTTTGTTTTGATTAGTCAAATAGTAGAAGCTGACCAGAACTAGAGAGATTCCATGTTAATTAGCTTAAAGTTATGTTTAAGAATACGACTTCTGTTAAATTTAAATCCCTTGGGCGATATCTGGTAAGGAAAAACAGGGGACAAGTATTGTTTAGCGTTACAAAAGATGGACATACATGTGGTGTAATGGTTAAAGGGGAAATTCGCTAGCCGAGTTCGAATTCCGGTCAACATCGTTACATTCATTTTCTCACAAATACCATTGGAGGGGGAGTGAATTTATCTATTCTCCCCTGCATTATGGGTTAAATAGCCGAGAAGACGCTCTAGCCGCGCTCAGCAACCAGTATAGGGGGAATTCAAAACTGTATATGTGACTAGTGAGACACATGCTTGTAACTAACGTCCACTAAGACTAGTTGCAGTATAAATTACAGGTTGACAGGTTTTGAAAAAAAAAAATACAAAAGGGCCTGAGCAGATGGGAAGATGATAAAATCACACTGATTTACAATGTTCTTTTAGGTCGAAACAGCTCTTATAATGATAAGGATAATGATGCTACAAAGGTTAGGAAGTTGTGGAAAGCCATGATCGTTCACGTCGTAAAGGTAGACGGCCGAGAAAAGAAGAAGAAGAAGAAGAAGAAGAGGAGGAGGAAAGAGTGTCATATTGAAATTCTCTGTAATGTTACTTATAGGATTTCCGCAACGTTTTTTGCAGTCTATGCTACGACCTTCTTTAAATGTAAATTCCACAAGGAATGTATATGACGTCATTGTTTCAAGAATGGTTTTGTCAAATGAAAACATTTACTTTAGCTTTTACATCCTGAGTTTTATGATAAACTACACCCGGAAGTAAGGTCTCTGATCGGGAGGTCTTGAGGGGCGTGGAACCACCTCTTAATTGCTATTGTTCCCAGATCCACCCTGACCCGGTGTGATAGCACATGTTAGTTTCCCAGTTATGGGCAAATAGTTAATCCCCAGACTAGGTTTTATACACCATGAAAGTATAAAAAAATTATAGTAAAAATACCAGCAATATCTTTTAATAGTAAAAAAATTTACCAGCAATACATTTTTGTTAAAGAAATTACTAATGCACTCAAGAACACTAAATTTCAGTATCAAATCACCCATTGATATGCAGCTAAACAAACAAATATTTAGGTTTCTTTATGGGAATTTGCAACGTTTTGTTCGGTCCATTTTATAACCGTATTCAAGTACAGGTTGCGATGGGTAAATTCTTGCCATTTTATACTTTTAATTTTGCGCATGCGCGTTGTATGTTTGTAATTTTGTCGACTGTACAGTATAATATGGTCAAGTTGGGCAACGTCTGTGTGAAAAAGAGCACCATGATGCAGTTCAGTCCGCCAGAAATTTAGAAACGGCATGATATGCTGCTTGGCATTCGCGCCGGAAGTTCCAATACGAAGATTTCAGAGTGTTCAATATGGGGACAGTGCAGAAGATTCGGAAAGAATTGGATGATATACCTAGTCAACATCATGGTGCTTGAAGTGATCACTAGTAATGGCGACGTTATACTTCATCTTCCCACGGGACCTCAGACTCAACATGGAGGCCTACATGAAGTGGTTGGCTGCTGGAAGACATTATATCGAACAACAGGACTCTCCACCATGCCACACAAGCAGAAAAACCCAGTCATGGCTGTCAAACAATTTCAACGACCACATCACCCTGTGGCCACCTAACTCTCCAGAATGCAACTCTCTTAAAATAATAATTTTTGTGTCGCAGTTGAGTGTGAGACCAACAAAACACCTTGTAACACCAAAGATTAACTGAAGGCAAGGATTATGACAGCATTCACCAACTTAAACAGGGGGACCGTTCAGAATATCACAAAAGTTTCTGTTTTTTTTGTTTTGTTTTTTTGTTTTTTTGTTTTTTAATACTCATCCGGATAACTTTCAAGAAATTTCTAACTTAACCCTTTATTTAATTTACGGGCATAAATAATTTTCCTTTCGCTATCCATACAAGGTCTGATAAAAAAAGGTATCGTCTGGAGGCCGTTGTTGAAGCCAATGGGGATTTTTATTGAATAAATTTACTCTTTAGTATTTCAGGATATTTTTGTGTAATTTTGGTCAATATATCTGTTAAAATGATTAATTGTTTAATAGTCTAGGTTGTTTTTTCGTTTATTTGTTTTTGTTTTTTTTTTTTTTTTTGTTTTTGTTTTTTTGTGTGAACGTTCTTTTCAGAGAAATGTATTTTTATGAAGACCAGACGGTTGGTGCAAAAAATTGTTACACACGGTTAAAAGCCGCCAGAATTGTTAGGAATCAAGTTTATGGGAAATTATTTTTTCGTATATACTGACTAATGAGAGATGTGTTCTCAAACCCTACTAAGAATCCGTATTGGAGTCCTGTTTGAGCCTATTTTTCCAAATAAATAGAACTCAGATCAGTAGGCAAGAGGAAGAAGCCATTTTGGCAGCAAGGGGACAAGACAAATTGACATCAACGAAGAGACAGGTGAGAAGGCAACAGTTACCAGCCATCTGCAGAGAGCCTTGAAGTTCACAATTGAAAATTCTCCTGCGCTTTGACAACAAAGAATGAAGAGAATTTTTCCAAGCACGAACAGCGTGAATTTAAAAAGGGAGTTTTCTAAAATTACTATATGTCGTAGGGTAAGAAAAAGTAGGTATTTTCGTCGTTTTTTTTTTTTTTTTTTTTTGAAAGCTGATTGTTTTTCTTCTTGAATTTTTTTCTCTTGTTGTCATTGAATCCTTGTCTTTTTCCGAAACTGTAACCCCATTTTTTTTTCCATTTTTCGATGTTAATCTCTTTTTCGAAACATCAGAAAATTGTTATCCTGCCTCAATAAGCAGGCAAAAGGAAAATTTTGTGCAAATTTTGTATTTGGACGTTTTTGTCTTCATTTCGGTAATAAATGTTTCTCCTTTTTTAAGTTTTGCGCTGTGGTTGAGTTTTATTTTGTTATTTGTGCGTATTGTGATCTCGAGGAAAAGAGACGCACGTGTTCTCTTTTTTCCTTTCTAATCCTACTAACTAGGTTTTTGTGTTTGGAACAAACATTGAGATTTGGTAGGGAGTTAAAATATTTACATGTCGGGTTGTCACAACATTTTCTTTAATTCTTTTTCTTAAGTATATTCAGTAGATTTTCATATTGCTATTACAATGATCACAAAAGTTTCTGCTTTTTTGTTTTTTTTTGGGGGGGGGTCAATACTCATCCGGATAACTTTCAGGAAATGTCTAACTTAACGCTTTATTTAATTTACGGGCATAAATAATTTTCCTTTCGCTGTCCATACAAGGTCTGATTAAAAAAAAAAGTATCGGGACTAGTACTGTAAAAAGAAAACTACATCATATATCAATTCGGCATCCAATCTCCTTCGAAGTACTCCCCTTCTGAAACAAAACACTTTATTCAGTATCGTTTTCCATTGACGGAAGCATTCCTGGAACTCATTTTTTGATATCCTTAAAATTGTCATGAATCCATCTCTTCTCTTCGTACGTTTGGGTTAAATTGTAGGGTAGACTGAGTTCTCTAGATTTGGGTGGCAGTCAGTCTAAGAGAAGGACAGCTATGGACTCAAAACCATGGAGACAAAAGTGGTAAACCATGTCAATAACTATCCTAAGACGTGATTGCAGATCACATACAAGAAAAATGGAGCATATGGAGAGTCATGGCCGCCTATGCATTGAAATGATATGGCATAAAAAATGTTGTGTTAAATAATAAATCTCGAAAAAAAAAAGAAAAATGAGTGGTTTGAACAATTCTTCAAAGGATAATCATTCCTGAAGAAAGCTCTAGAGTCAATCGACTGAAACGCGTCATTGATTGATTACGTGAGCAGCTGCCTCATCGCATTTTTTTGGTTTTCCTTTTTATTGATTGATTGATTCGTCTTCTATGGTTTATCAACCCTTTGCAGGTTATTTAAAGCCAAAAAATAGGAGACAAGTAGATATGATTAAAGGAGACGTTGATAAAGATTTTAAACAGAAAAGCGGATAGACATGTGGAAATTGAGATAGAAAGATAAGAATAATCCAAGTCGATACATAGATATGAAGATTTCATTGCTTGCTTCGTTTTTTTTACGATTTATCAACCCTTTCAGGTTATTTAAAGTCAGAAAATATATTTTTAAATTGTAATATTTTGGTCGGATGAGTGGGGAATAATAATGGTTGAGTGACATAAATCTTACTAATTAATCCATAACTTGGAGGAGAAGAGAGTATTTGCACGTAAGTAACGAACCTAACGGGAATTGGAACTCGGCCCTCCGACTAACAATACCGAGCCATTATCCGTTACATCACTCGCACATCACATCCAAGCTTACGTTACCTCATATTCCCAAAGGGTCACCCATCTAGGAACTGACCAAACTCGACATTGCTTAACCTCGGTGATCTTACGGGAACCTGCGTTTCAAAGTTATCTAAGCTTTTCTAAAAGAATTCATATAGGAAAAGCGTTCCCATACCGGGAACCAAACCCGGGACAGAGCTTGGAATACTAACCCCTAGACAATGTTGTATGAACCCAAATGACAACAGAAACAATGAGTTCTGTCGTCGAAACAACTCTCTGTTTTATCAAAATAAGATAAATTTTTTGAACAATTTTTGTATTTGGTACGACACCAATTATGGTCAAAGGTCAAAATACTGCCCCCCCCCCAAGAAATAAAGTTCTTAATCCTGGCTTGCAAGTCCAGCTTTATAACGTTTAAACCGCGGAAAGGATGATTTCTTCTCAGAATGCAATGGACACACGATAGTATTTATCTGACCTCCCCACTAAGGCAGGATGCGATAGAATTTTTTTTAATGTGGGATTTCCATTTGTATGCAAATGCGCCAAAAAGTAGCCCAATCCTCGCGACCACTGTCACTCTGGCGTCGATATGACACTGACCCCACTCTTAGTGCAACGTGGGGTGGGGGGGTGCTGCCGCGGGGTTAGAATCCCCTGGATCGGTGCCTTCTCTCGTTTCATCTGAGGAGAGAACAGCTACTTCGCTTTCATCAAGGTCAAATAGCCGAGCAAATTTGATAATATCGTCGACAAAAGCAAACAGGGTGGATTGTTTAGTGAAAACTTGGAGAATTATATTCCGTGTCAATAAATAGAAAGAAGATATAAAATGTAACAGAGCAGGAAAATTAAATAAATAAGAAAGAAAGAAAGAAAGAAAGAAAGAAACAAAGAAACAAACAAAGGTGGAAAAAATCTGAATGATAGAAAGATTGACAGGAAGGAGGAAGAAAGAAAGGCGGAAAGAAAGAAAGAAAGAAAGAAAGAAAGAAAGAAAGAAAGAAAGAAAGAAAGGCGGAAAGAAAAAAGAAAGGCGGAAAGAAAGAAAGAAAGAAAGAAAGAAAGAAAGAAAGAAAGGATGAAACAAAGATAACGGAAAAAAGAATGAAAGACAGACGAAACAAAGAAAGAGAGAAATAAATAAAGGCGGTAAGAAAGAAAGAAAGAAAGAAAGAAAGAAAGAAAGAAAGAAAGAAAGAAAGAAAGAGAAAAAAGAAAGAAGGAAAGAAAGGCAGACGAAAACAAAGAAAGAGAGAAATAAAGAAAGGTGGTAAGAAAGAAAGAAAGAAAGAAAGGCGGAAAGAAAGAAAGAAAGAAAGAAAGAAAGAAAGAAAGAAAGAAAGAAAGAATGAAAGGTTGAAAAAAAAGATAACGGAAAAAAGAATGAAAGACAAAACAAAGAAAGAAAGAAAGAAAGAAAGAAAAGAAAGAAAGAAAGGCGGAAAGAAAAAAAAAAAGAAAGAAAGAAAGAAAGAAAGAAAGAAAGAAAGAAAGAAAAGAAAGAAAGGTTGAAACAAAGATAACGGAAAAAGAATGAAAGACAGACGAAAAAACAAAAAAAGAGAAATAAATAAAAGGCGGAAAGAAAAAAGAAAGAAAGAAAGAAAGAAAAGAAAGAAAGAAAGAAAGAAAGAAAGAAAAAAAAAAAAAAAAAAAGTAAGAAAAGAAAAGAAAGAAAGAAAAGGCGGAAAGAAAGAAAGAAAAGAAAGAAAGAAAGAAAAGAAAGAAAAGAAAGAAAGAAAGAAAGAAAGACAGTCGGAAATAAATAAATGAATAAATAAAGAGGCGAAAACAAAGAAAGAGACAAATAAATAAAGAAAGAAAGAAAGAAAGAAAGAAAGAAAGAAAGAAAGGCGGAAAGAAAGAAAGAAAATGGCACAGAGAGCGAGCGAGCATGCAAGCAATCAAGAAAGACAGAAAGAAAAGGGAAAATCGACCACCAAACACAAGAATGGGGACAAACAAAATTAGTACAGGGAAGGAGAAAGGATAAACAGATAGGTATTAACAGAATGAGATAAATACAGAGATAGATAAATAGATAGATATATATATAGAGAGAGAGAGATTAACAGAATGAGATAGATAGATAGATAGATAGATATAGATAGATAGATAGATAGATAGATAGATAGATAGATAGATAGATAGATATGAATATAATGAGATAGAGAGATATGAATAAAATGATATATGTGTGTGTGTGTGCATGTGTATACAGAAATGGATAGGCATTAGAATAAAAGAGAAATGATGTGAACAAAATCTCTCTCTCTCTCTCTCTCTATCTATCTATAGATAGATAGATAGATAGATAGATAGATAGATAGATAGATAGATAGATAGATTCAACGCTGAATGTTTTCTGAGGTGCGTAAATGATTTGAGGAGAAATAAACATTTGTTGTAACATGGAAATCTTTTCTCTGTTTTCAGAATTGCTGACGAAGGAAATCGACGCAAGAATGTCTCTGCGGAATTGATTCGAGCGGTTTTATTAAATGAAATAAAAAGATCTAATAGAAAGAAATAAACAGTAGACCTCAACCTATTTCTCACATTTAGTGAAAACACCCACGCACTCAGACGAATTACCAGACAGACATCGACCTAAATTCTATAAACGGGTGAGCGTTAGGGAAGTCAACACTCACACAGACACAGACAGACACACAAACACACACATTAAGCACACACACACATTAAGCACACACACACACACACACACACACACACTAAGCGCACAGACTAAGCATACACACACACGTACAGTAAGAACACACACTAAGCACACACACTAAGCGCACTAAAAACACACACACTAAAAACACAAATGCTGTTGAAACTCCCCCCCTGAACACACAACTAAAACGTACACTCTCACACAAAGAAAAACACACACATAGACATGCAAACGAGGACACACAGATGCATTGACAGACGCAGGAACATACACACGTGTACCTAGATTCACTACGTCAGTAAACGTACGACGCACACATATATGCACACACGCATATATATATATATATGTATATATATATATATGTGTGTGTGTGTGTGTGTGTGTGTGCGTGCGTGCGTGTGCGTGTGTGTGTATTCATGTGCGTTCTGATAAAAAATACACACACGCAAATACGTATATGCGTCTACACACAAGCACATGCACACTAACACAAACACACACAGAGACGACGAAATGCCACAAAAATATCACAATGACACTGTCGGATAATAAGAAAACACACGCGCGTGCACTCACACGCACACACAGACATACACACATACACATACATATATATATGTAGAGAGAGAGAGAAAGAAAGAGAGAGAGAGAAAGAAATACGTAGATATAGATAAGTAGACATTAAATGAACATTATTCGTATTTTTTTTTTTTTATAATAAGGTTCACCCTATACAAGGCCCGGTGGCCACTCGAGATAGACTGCTACGTTAGGCGACTGTATGAATAGGATGGTAAGACAACAGTTAACTCTAGACGTGTGTATATATCTAGATAAATCTTAGTTGTTTACTTGTGTGTTTGTGCGTGAGCGCGCGCGTGTGTGTGTGCGCGCGTGTGTGTGTGTGTGTGTGTGTGTGTGTGTGTGTGTGTGTGTGTGTGTGTGTATTGTTTTCATAAGAAATGTATTATGGACAATATAGAAACGGAAGGTTTTCAGGATCCACTCAAAATCTGGCGAAATGTCCGATTTGGTTGGAGAAATCTTTTTTGGTCAAGTTATGAAATTTTCAAAACCGTCTCGTATCTGTGTATGTGTGTGTTGTCGGAGGTGGGGGCGTATTTGTGCATTCCTCCGTTTGTGAGTTTTTGTACGTGGATTCGTTTGTCTGTGTTCCTTTCCTTGTGCGTGTGTGTGTGTGTGCGTGTGTGTGTGCGTATGTGTGTGTGTTCGTATATGTTTGTATTTATTTGTGCACATGCACGTCGATGTGATGCTTATTTTTTTTATAATTCCTACGTGTATGTGCGCACGCGTATTGTCCTTGATGTTTCAAATCTTTTTTTTTATTATTATTATTTTGAACAAAATAATGAATGAAACGTCTTTTTAATCGGTGCTTAGGTCATATATTTTTTTTTATTTTTATTTCCTACAACAAATCCTAATGTAAATTTAATTTTCTACGACAATCAATGATGTTAGCCATCGTATGTCATTTTTTTTTTTTTTTTTTAATCATTTCACCCCAAGCAAGGTAGTAAAACCAATGAGGAACAAGGGGGTTACTGAGTGTGAAAGAATAAAAAAGAAAAGAGACATTATTAAGGAAAGAAAACAATTTACCCCAGACAATTCATTTCGAGATATTCATTAATTAAATTCATTATAAATTTAAATATCTCTATTCATTTTTTATTTACGTTTTTTGGGGTTTTTTTTTTTTAATCTTTATTGAGAATTTATTTATTTATTTATTTATTACGTGTTACTTAAGTAGGCAATCTACCATCGGGGTCTAATCTGTTAGAACAATGCATCACTAAAATTTATGATCTACGAGTTTAGAAAATTGTCTACATACAGTATAAGACAAGAAAAAGAAGTAATCTTGATTTAACACACACACACACACACACATATATATATATATATATATATATGAACAATAAAAAATATTAAAAAATATCAGACACACTGGATTGTATATTAATATTCCTTCGTTTTTATTATTATTTCATTTAGATTCCTCGACTAGTTTCGGCCAACAGTTTCAGGAGAAAAATAATTTTTCTGTTTGCTGGCCATGAATCAGGATGGAAAAATAACTTTTTTTTTAGTTTTTCATTTTTTTTTATCATGAATTTTGGTCAGTCTTTGTGTTGGTCAAACAATCTCTTTTAAGTTTTTATTTAAGATAAGAGCTGGATGGATTCATGCTTCTCTGAATTCGCTTGGTCATTTTAACAGTTTTATTCGTTCCTGGAAAGGGGATGTCTCTCTGGTAAGTGTGTGTGTGTTATTTAGTTCTTAGGGTGTGGGTGAGTATGATGTGTGTAAGCGTGTATATTACTATGGATGTGTGTTATCATTTGGCTCATTAGGGAGTGAATGAGTATGATGTGTGTAAGTGTGTATATTCGTGTGGTTGTGTGTATAAGTGTTAGGCCTCAACACCTCCGTAAGATGTCTGTCTTGTGTGGGTATATATATATATATATATATATATATATATGAAGGCCAGTGTGCAAAATAAAAATGACCTACCCAGTGCCGTACTATGTTGATCCCGTTGACGCATGCTGATATCGTTATCAAAGATGATTCTTACATATAATACGCACATATATCTTCAAGAATCTTTTGATCATTTTTAGAAATTCATTTTAAACTATAAAAAGTATAACTAAAAAAAGAGAGGAGCAAAACAATTCATGTAATAATTAGTCATCGAATGATTTTTTTTTTTTTTGTATTCACTTTACATCCTTCATTTATATTATTTGTGATAACAATTAAAAGCTTATACAATTAAATATTTAGATAATTCTAATGCAGGTTTTATGTTACGATTCGGAGTGTATCTTGTGGAATTTGGTAATAGTTTGAGAAAGACAAAAATAAAGAATAAAAAAAAAATCTGATGATACGTTGCTGTTAGTAGGGCGAGAAATAAGCAGAATCTGAAATTACTTATTGAATTTACAGACTGTTAAGGATTACTCAGATCTTTCAAAGTTTACACAAAAAATATTGTGCTTTGGGAACTTTTGCAGTAAACATAATTTTGGTTGTAAATATGTAACATTTATGATAATAATATACGGATATTTTTCTTTAGGTATTTATAAACTGTACACTCTTCAGTTATTAGCGTTAACAACAAACTATTTCAAATTAAAAAATTTACTTGGATTAAACAAAAATTACTGACAATATAATACATATTACTTATAATACATTTCTTGTCGTCAATTTTGACGGCACGCGTACACTAGTACTATAATAATACACTAAACAAATAATACTATTTGTGTTTCTATAGACTATTATTTAAATTTCTCGAGGTTTCTCCTATGTATTCGTTGTGGCAGTTATAACAGGAAATAAAATAAATCTACACACTCAAATTTTAGCTTATTACTTTGGTTTGTATTAATTAAGTTTTTTATTATTTTAGACGTAGTTGTGAGAAATTTTATGTTAAGTCCACATCAATTCTTTTTAATCTGATCTTGTCATGCTTTCCCTTAAAATTATTCTTGATGTGTAAAAAAATTAGGTGTTACTTATATATGTGATCTATCTTTCGAGTCTGATCTACCATTAATTAAAAATAGATATATACGGAATGAGACAAAAAGGAAGTATTTAATTAATATGCATGGTGGTCCGAAAATCTTGTCAACCCTAGGTCATATTTAAAAAAAAAAATTCAAGCTTCTACAGAAAGGGTGATGATGACATGACTTTCGGACCACACTGTACTATAATTATATAATAATAATTCTAGGATATCCGTCTACTAAGGCGGCTAACCAATCCCTATTGCAGACGCTCGCTCAGGGACATTTGTGTTTGCTCAACACCCACAGAGCGTACTTGTGCTTTATACGTCAACTATGCTGAGCAAACCTTAGTTACAGTTTCTAAGAGAGAACGTTTTATCTAGCGTGTTCAATCATTTGAATATGGTCAGCACGCTCAAGCCCTCGGCCATGATGACTTGTGGTTTTGTGCTAACACAGCTAACGACGGCCCACAAGAGTTCTGTCCTTCACTCACAAGGCTTGGGTCAACCCCAAAAGGTTGAGGTACGCTGGGATCGACCTTGATCCAGTCCGATAACATCAGGAAGTGGCCTTCCCGACAAACCAACCGGGTCTCATGGTCGGAAAGAGAACGTTTTAACCACTCGGACAAACGCCCATATTATAATTATGCGCTAAACAGATAATGTGGACAGTTTTATTTAAGGTAGATTGTGTAGTTAGAACGTTCACTTTCTGACCATGAGACCCGGGTTCGTATCTCACCATGGTCGATTAGACAAGAAGTTGACATCTTGATGTTATCGGTCCTAGTATGAGGCACAGTTGGAAAGTAACCATACAACGGGTTGACCCAAGCTTTGAGAGGGAAACTGGGTAGAGCGAACTGTTCCAATACCGTCGATGGTTATGCTAGCACGAAGTCACAAGTCATCGTGACCGAGTGTTTGAATGCACTGGCCTTGTTCAGACTGTTCATAACGCCAAATAATACGCCCCCTCCCAGAAACTGTAATTAAGGGCCACTCAGCACAGTATAAACCACAGGTGGGCTCTGTGGGTGTTGAAGAAACACACAGGGGAGGTATCTACAACAAGCATCCTCGGATACGTCCGGCCATTATTATTATTATTATTATTATTATTATTGTTATTTAAATCACATATTTAAAAAGAAACATGCACGTAGATTGCATAATTAAGTAATACCATGGGGCACCTCGAGGTGGTGTAATGGTTAGAAAGCTTGTCTCGCTAGAACCAATTACAACTGAGTAGTGAGTTCAATCTTCACTGGGTGCCCCTTACTTTCGGCCTTGTGCCATATCCAAGCTACGCTTGGAAAATCGCTACTTAAGTAACACCATCAATTTCTAATTTTTATAAATACATGTTCCATTGTTATCGGCACGTCAAATGAACTGTGAGAATCGCTTTCTTTTTCGTTCCTCAGCTATGGTTAAATAGTACGGCGTGATGGATTTATTACCTTTGCTAGGACAACCAATCTAGGAGAAGGACTATGCTTGGTTCAGAATCGTGGAGAAGACAATGGGAACCCATTTCATTACACTTGTCAAGAGCAGGCAAGCAATTCACAATTTAAAGAAAAATAATTTCATGAGATTCATGGCAAGCTACATCCTGAATTGACATTGTGAAAAAAAAAAAAAAAAAAAAAGAATAATGTGGAGTGAGTAGCCATGTTCAAATGCAAAATAAATAACAGAACTGTCCAATAAACAAAATTGACAAAGTTTGCAATAAGCAATAACAGGAAAAAGAAAAGAAAGGAACTGGGTAAAAAGAATATAAAGCAAGCAATATATGCAAGACAAATCAGCAGTTATATGGCAAAAGGTTCAAACTAAGAACTGGTGTTGACGCACGTTCGGACAAGTTCGGACAAGCGAACGTAGCGTTCTGAATTCAAGACAAGACAGATCGGGACTGAGTTAGGGGAAACCGAGAACCCGTTAACCGGCCTATTTTATTGGCATGCATTTCTGTACTTCTGCCTATAAAAGGGGAGGGGAAAGATTTTGAAACCAACAAATGAAATGGAAGTAAATAAAATAAATCTTTCAAGCATTCATGACTTAGAGCCACATAACGTTGAAACTCCGGTTCTCGTATGACCACCGAAGTTAAGCAACATCGAGCCTAGATGGGTGACCAATGAGGAATACCAGGTGCTGTAAGCTTGAATGTCATTGCGAAAGGTTTAATTGCAGAACTTCTTTTATCTACTTACGTATAAGATGTAATGGTTATCTTCGTAGAAAGTGGACTCGGCGTGCCAGGTTCAAATTCCGGCTGAGTTCGTTGCATTCAATTTCGCACAAATACCCTTGAAGGAATTATGAATACATCTCTTTCCAGCATCCTTGCTATAGATTTAATAATAGAGGAGACTAGGATTTTCTAGGTTAGTTTGCCAACCGTTCTAGAAGAAGGACAATTCTGAATTCAAAACCGGTCGGCCCCGAGGCTAGCAACTCCACTCCGTAAGAAAAAAATTGCTTGCTACAGAAATCACAACAGCAGCATCTAGTGTAGTGTAGCTGTGGCCCTATTACCCACAGGGGTTCTAATGGCACGGCATTAAACAGGAGGAGGGAAGCAGATTTATACGGTCGGTTTCGAAAAAAAAATCTTGTAAGTTAATCTTTTTTAGGGTGGATATGTTTTTCATGAGTTCCAACAAATTCCGTACATATTGGCGGAGTGGATTTAGAAAATAGCACAAACAGAAGTCTCTCCCAAGACAACTCAGAGTACAAGTAGATTATGAATATCTACAGCATTAACCAACTATTGCCGACCATTTTCGGGAACGGTGTCCATTAATGTGTTATATGGAGAATTCTATATTTAATTCCGGATTTGTTTAGAAAACTATAATTAATGACGGATTTTATGCGGAAACATAAATTCTTACAGATAATAATAAAAATAACAAACACGCACATACGCATATACATACATACACACACAGATAGATACGAACAGACTTTGATATATATATATATATATATATATATATATATATATATATATGTGTGTGTGTGTGTAGAGAGAGAGTGGGGGATGAGAGAGATAAAGAACAGACTTATGTAGACATAAACCAACTGAGATATCAACCGACTGTGATAGATAGATAGATAGATGATAGATAGATAGAGATAGATACGAAAAGGCTGGGATATATATATATATATATATATATATATATATATATATATATATATATAAGAGAGAGAGGGAGACAGGGTAAGAGAGTGATAAAGAACAGACTGATGTAGACATGAATCAACTAATATATCGCTATCAACCTACTGTGATAGATAGATAGATAGATAGATAGATAGATAGATACGAACAGACTGGGACAGATATTATATATATATATATATATATATATATAGAGAGAGAGAGAGAGAGAGAGAGAAGATAAAGAATAGACTGATGTAGATATGAACCGACTGAGATATCGCTATTAACCGACTGTGATAGATAGATAGATAGATAGATAGATAGATAGATAGATAGATGTTATAAAATATTATAAAATAGGACTTCAGTGGTACAGATTAAATGTAATTTTCTTAATATTTTAGGCTTAATTTTTTTCATACTTTAATGCGCGCGTGACCATGACATTATAACATAAGAGGAAAAAGATTCCATAATGAATAATTTTTTTCACGTTACAGTGAGCGCTCAGCACATTATCAAGCGTTTTGTATTTAAAAGCATAATGAAAAAATTACGGTAAGGGATAACACTTAGATCTTTGTATAAATACTTACACTAATGAACAACATATAGTTTTTTTACCACTTGCACCCCTGAAGATGATCTTTGAAGAAGATCGAAAGTACTTGGGAAATAAAAATAAAATAAATTTAAACAGCTATAGAACATTTCTCTCATCCTTTAACATCAATACACGGAATGTTATTCGTGAATATGAACGGATTTTATTAAAAATTAGCAGACATAATGTCCGTAATTTATTGAATCAGACATGTCTAAACACACGGACACACACAGACACAGCCTCCCCCCCACACACACACACATTATGAGTTGGTTTCTGATCCCGGCTTGTGGCAGTCGCATGTTGTTTAGTCACACTGATGAGCTGTGATACAGCGAAACAGTCTGTCTGTGGTCTTATGATCGTTTCAGACATAGAACTGACAATCACTATTTATTGTTGATTTCTATGTCCAGACAGTTTATATCTATAAATGCACTATCCCTAATACCGATCTGGCATTTTGTGATTAATATCATAAATTTGAAACAATATGATTATATGAATTAGACCAAAAGAATGCTATTGAAGTACCTAGTCTATATTGTATATATACACGTACATACAAATGTGGAGTAATGAATAGCGGTTTGGATTGAGGAATCTGAGAGCCTAGTTCGAATTCTAGTCGAATCTATTACATTCACTTACGTGAATACGCTTCTCCCCCCCCCCCAGCTATGGGTATGAACCGGCTATCTACCGCTGAATGGAAACCTACTGCGGGAAAAAAAATCTGCCTATCAAAAAGATACATGATCGCCTAAGCGTGTATCACACATGGCGCATAACTGATTGAGTGACATACAAATGTGTATGCACAAACGTACACATATGTTCGCGTTAGAGTCGAGATTCGTCACTTTCAATACTCTTGAAGCCATTAATCCCTCATATATGGGTTAAATAGTTGAACAGACTGAGATATCAAGCCAATGATAAGATCGACTCTGAATTCTAAATTGTATGTAGACGCAGCGAGTCAGATTTCCAATGCGTCTACGATCTCAACTGTGGTTGGATTTGATACATATCTTCAGTGCTGCTCTGTTTCGACATTCTTTATTGTGCTTCATCGTTCTAACCTCATTGAGCCTCTCCGTTACAAGCTCATTGGGCCTGTCCGTTAAATACTTATTGTTCTTGTCCGTTACAACTTCATTAAGCCTATGGAATTCACAAACTGGGGCTGTCAAAAATAAACAAAAATTTAAATATATAGGAAGTATTTTAACAGATGACGGAAAGTGCGATGTTGAAATCCGTAAGGGGTTCGGGATAGCCAAAGATGCCATTCAGAGACAATGGAAACAAAAAGGACACTTATACACCAGAAAGACACAATTGAAATTTCTAGGGCACATAATGAGGAAAGACGGTTTAGAAAATCTGTCACCCACAGGGCAGATTGAAAGTGAGAGGAGCAGAGGAAAACAGCCCATAATCATAGTAAGCTTGAGTAAACGGATGGCTGGACAAGGTTTAGAAGAGATAACAAAAAGGGAAAATTTATTAAGAGCTACAAAGGACACGGAATTTCTGCAGAGTTATGATCACGATACATCCACGATACATAAAAGAAGAATCAGCGGCGAACAAAGAAATTAAGACCGTGAAATTCAGGTTCGCTCCCTAATCGATTCTATAAAAAAATATGAAAGCTCATCCACCATTTTAGGCTGTAAATTAGAAATTATTAGTCTCCATGCAGGCGGGGGCGTTCCCTCGGGTAGTAATTCTTCCACGAGGATGATTGGTTTAATACCTGTAATCAGAGACATCAAAAAATTAAGATGACGAAGAATTTCGCAAATTTTGTTTTTCTCCATATGTAGACGTGGAACTCTTTATACATAGCCTTGTGGCATAATACTTTTAACGTTGGTTTGTTTTGTTTTGTTTTACGGCCTATCAATCTCAATGGGTTATTTAATGCCGACAAGATCTTTAGGATAGTTTCGTATGAATAGAATATGTATTCTTTGGTTTAGATTAGTTTGGTTTATTTTCCACAAAACTTTGCAAATTACCCCATTTAGCACAAATGTCTTTGATTAAAGAACTTGGACGATTCCCTTTTCCTTCCTCTTCCTCAGAAGACATTTCCTCAGCCAAATTCTAACCCCTAAGTTATCGACGCCCGTCAGAGAGAAAGGCGATTTTTTACGTATTTATTTTTTCACAAACACGCCAGTGACCTACAGAACTCAATCCAATTTGGAGAGTCTTATATATATATATATATATATATATATATATATATATATATATATATATATATCAAACACTGACCTACATGCAACTACGGTTTCTGCCGTGACGGCTTCGTCAGTTGAAGCCATCTCTGCGGAAATCGTGGTTGCAAGAACGTCAGTGTTTCTGATATTTTATGCTAGCAGTAGAGCCCGGCGTTGCTCGGGGATGTAACAGTAAGAGATAGATCAAGTACCGACCATCATAAAGACTGAAAAATGAAATTGACAAAGATTATTGTTTAAGGTTGACGGACACGCATGTCTTAATTAGTTTTTTCTTCTTTTTTTTTTTAATGAATTGGTTAAACTCAAACAAAAACATTGTTTTCAATCATTATGAACGATTGAATAGAATTTTATTATAAACAATTGTCTTGTAAATGGAATTTTTAAAGCATTCTGAATGTAAAAATAAAGAAAAAGTGTACAAGACAATAAGAAACACTACCTGCCAAAAAAAGTGAAGTTTTGTTGAAATTTGTTTGAAAAATGTTGGAAATCCGATCCCATATATAAACGAACACACACGAACACACACACACACAAACAACCTGGGTTTTATAATAAGTATAACTCGATATGAGTTGTCCCCCTTTCATTATTGCGATGCCTCTTAATCGTGTTTTGATATTGATTTCATGCAAAAACAATTGTGTTTTTTCAATTTTTGGCGCTGTCAGAACCACCGCAAGGTAATTTTACGTAGTCCTCTGGAGTTTTGTTGAAATCGGTTGAAAAATATAGGAAATCCGATCCAATATATAAACGAACACACACACACACACACACACACACACACACACACACACACACACACAACCTGGATTTTATAAGTATGATATCAATTTATGCTACATTTTTGTTCTGTGAAAATATTATTGAACACTCTTTTTAGTTTGGCCGTTTTTTTGTGCATGTGTGAGATTTTGATAGTCATCTTAGTTTCTTCCTTTTATATACAGAGCAACCTCTGTTCTTGACCATTATTTGTTCTGAAATTCCGTTCTAAAACCGAATTGTTCGAGAACCGAATCATTTTTTCCCATTACAATTAATGCAAAAGAGATTAATTCGTTTCCAAGCACCAGATGAATGATTATTTACATGATTACACTACATATCCAGGTAAATCTTTCTTTGTGATTTATTTTCTTTTTTCTTTCAGTAAAACCCTGTCCAAATCTCTAAATTGAGACAGGACATTGTCATTAAAAAGGTTTACTCCTCTATTTGCTACCACTTTTATCAGATAAAGTGGTAGCAAATAGAGGAGTAAACCTTTTTAATGGCAATGTCATATCTCATTTTAAAATATTTACAGTAGATAGTTTAAAATATATAGGTTTTAACTAATAGATTTAAATAGCTTTTTTTTTAAAAAAAACATTTAGACATTTCATAACTTAGTTACCTCCCCTGACGTTTACATCGTGACATTTAAATTGTACAGTACATATCCATAGCGTTTTTCACTTCACAGGTAAAAAATTAACTTTCAGATGAGCATAGTTTTGTCTCAGAAAAATGATGAACATAGAAAAACAATACCCTATTAATGACATTCTGCTAATGTCGAAAGTACTCGGAGTAAAATGAATATGCATCAACATGGTAATTTTCTCTCTTCCTTTAGTAAGGACACTAAGAAGCTTTTACGTGAATATTAGGAGGATCTTATTGAAAATAAATCAACAAATCTTATCTAAATTATTCAATACATACATACATACATACATACATACACACACACACACACACACACACACACACACATATATATATATATATATATATATATATATATATATATTTACTAACATTCTAAAATATATAACACCGTAGTTCATGAAAGTAATGGTAGGTGGAGCCACCATATCTTAATATCATGGAAATGACGAAACATATTAGTTGGGCTCTGATATCGGGTGAGTCCATGTTTGAATGAGGCAGGATGCCAGGCAGATGAAGCATTTCATTTCTAAATTTAATCGTTGATGTTATCAGTTGCAATACAGGAAAGTTTTGATTTCCTCTTAGCATTTAAGACTGTAAAACCTCATAAATGACTGTCTTCTTAATCATCACAGTAAATGTCACAACATAATAAACATGATCAAACGTGCTAAATTAATTTCTTCTTCACATACAAGTTATTTTATAAAGAATTAAGTCGCACAAAATACTTATTGATAATGCTTTTCAAGCCATACTGCTGACCAAATAATATTATCTTTAAAGGCTTTTAGCCTTGTTAGTCTCCCTTTTTCTACTGATATAAAGTGGAGTGATTATATTGAATCAATTGCTAGGTTTGCTGATAAGAATGGTGCTTCAGACAATATTTCCCATCGGAATCCATCTTCCACAATTATAAATCTGTCATTCGTCCACAGAGTGAATATTCTTGCCATATCTGCTTGGGTGATCTGACTATATATCACGAGATTCTCGACAAAATTCAAAGAAGGGTATGTAATTATTTACACTATTTACATCGTTCGGGCTATTCGCCTCATCTTTATTGTCATATTCACGACGTTTCGGCCGTTGTACGTTCCGGCCTTCTTCAGGTGATATACGTTAGAATATCAATTCGAAACGTTCCTTTTGCCCACCGGGATAGAATGTTCTAGTTCCACGTGCCATGCCTTTTCTGGATATCTCGGTTTCAGTTATTTCCCTCAACTCTCCAAGTTTCTGTTCTGCTCTGCTCTCGCCAGGTATTGCATTCACAACTCTTTGGGTCAAGTCACAGGATTACTTCAGCTAACAGTTTTATCCACTGAGCCATGTCTTTGGGGAAACCTCGTGAATATGACAATAATGACAGGGTCAACAGTCCGAACAATGTAAATAGTGCAAATAGTTACAATACCTCATTTCAGAAATATAGACAAATCCTGAAAAAGGCTGGTGTGTACAATGGCCGAAACGTGGTGAATATGACAATAAAGATGAGGAAAACAGTCCGAACAATGTAAATAGTGTAAATAGTTAAAATACCTCATCTCAGAAATATAGAGAGATCTTGAAGCAGGCTGGAGTGTACAATGGCCGAAACCTGATGAATATGACAATAAAGATAAGGACAACAGTTCGAACAATGTAAATAGTGTAAATAGTTAGAATACAACATCTCAGAAATATAGACATATATTGAATGGTCTGTAATGTTATCAATCCTGACCTGGCATCTCAACTCCAATCACTTTCTGTGACGTGGATTCCCTCTGTCTTTTCTATAAATATTTTCATGGGCGTTGTTCTGTACTGCTAGATTAGCTACTGCCTCTCATACTTTTACTGTTGAAATAGCTGGATGTAACGTAAGTTCTCTTCTTATAGTTTCTTTTCTCGCACTTCTCAACTTTGGAAATCTCTTCCGATTTCTTGCTTCCTAGGCAACTGCAATCTTGAAAAAATTAAATACAACATCAATCGCCATCTTCTGTCTTCCTGAAATCCGTTCTTTTATTGTTCTTTCTCATCACTAAATGTTTCTCATTCCCTTCCACTTCTAGTAACCCCATTGTGTCTAAGTGGCATTAACGCCTTCCTTTGGGCGAAATGATTAAAAGAATTGAGTGCTACTCCAATCTTGAGGATGACTGCTTGGTAAATGATCTCTACTTTGGCCTATCTCATACAGTTCAATGAGTAAAAGACTGGCCGGTATCATTTAATACATCCAAAACTAAACTAGCAACATTTCATCACCACCGAGCAGACCCCAAACCTGCACCAATCCCGATGAGTGTTGATAACCTCAAAGATTCGGTCGCCTACTGAATGTAAGTCTCACTACCGATTTCAAGTGGAACGCGAAGTTTCCTGCTATCGTAAAAGATGCTGGAAGAATGGTTATTTCTTTGGAACGCTCCAGAAAATACCTGACTCCCGATGTTATACTCATTCTTTGCAAGATTCAGATCATATTAAGAATTGAGTATTGCTGCCATATCTGGGCTGGTGTTGCCCAGTCCTGACTGTCCAACCTCGATAGAGTTCAAAAGTACTTACACGGCCTTGTAGGTAATGGATTATTCTCCACCTTTATCCTACAAACGAAACGCTGCTAGGCACACTCGGATCTTTCTCTATTTCTACCATCTCGGACCTTCACAGCATCGGACAATCCTGAAATATTCACGGTGGCAAAGCTGCGATAATAAACATGACCATTTGCCTCGTGTTCCTTTGATAAGGAGCAAGTTCCTCTCAGACAGCTTATTCCACTGAACTGTTACTTTGTGGAACAGACTCCCGAGAGGATGCTTCTCTGAAAACTATAATCTTGGTCCCTTTAAGTCCAGGTTCAACCGATATCTATCCTACACGTTCTTATAATATCCATTTATTAATTCCTCTTTCTCCCGTCCTTTACAGCAATCTCGCCCAGTAAGCCTCAACCATAAGCGGCTCTTGAGCCTTGTATTGGATGAACCCTCATTAATTGTCGCTAGATGCATCACAAATATAAACTATATGAAAATAAATACAGCACTTAATGAAAGTAATAAAGGGTAATATTCATTAATTATCATAAAAAATGAAAATATCTGATCGCCACTACTAAACATGTCCAAACTAGATTGCGAAACTTCTTGCTGCGCCACACATTTTTATTGGCTTATTTATACCCTATTTTAATGTTTCTAGGAAAATAAACCTCTTTCCAAGATTGCAAGGTTAAAGCATTAACATTCTGGGGTTATCGGCAACCAGGTGGGAAAATAATGAGGACTTCATAAGCGACGAACACAGAGAAAAAAAGAAAGGAGTAGAACTCGTACTTAACAAAAACGTAAATAATTGTCTTCGGGGATACTGTCAACTATCAGAATTCTTTCTACATATTTTTATAAAATACACTTCTTAATTTCTCCTCTTACCGCTTATGCAACAACCCCATTCACTAACCATCTATCTTGAGGAGCTCCTGAGCCTTTTATTGGGTGAACATTAGTCAAAAAAAAGAAAAAAAAGAAGGAAGATAAGCTTCTCATGTTATGTATGTTATTGCGCTTTGCAATAACGACAGGGCCTTCCTTTCTAACATTTTGTTTGAAGTCGTGTGTAATATCAAC